ACAAGGCTTAGCACGACCATACTATAGCCATACTACAGCTAACTCAGGGCAGGTAATTACTTCAGGGACAGTCACATCTAAGTGCAGCTACTATACATGTATCATCTTGAAAATTAACTTCTTTTATAAACACAGGTATGCCGTCAAACATGACAATACAAATGCAATCCAGCCAGGTCTGCCAAAAAAGTGCTGTTTTCCAGGAGTACTCTTAGAGGTAACCATAGCAGTAACAGAATTCCAAGGAAGAACCAGTTCTTTTTCCTCTTGTTTTACAGGTTGGTACCTTGCATGACATCGTTTGTCCAGTTGGAGCTGTTTAACAGTAACTGCTGCCCCTTCTCTGTTGGGAAACAGCAGGAAAGACTCGATGTAGTATGAACATTTACTCCTTTGCAATAATTAAAGTTTCTCTTTTAAACCACACCGGTTAGAAACTGCTTTCCTAACTTTTCCCCCGGAAGTCCCCCTCCTTAGACAAACAGTGTTAATACATGGATGGCCTTCTCTGTAATACAGATAATGGGAAGGTCTCCATAGTCTTCTCTCCTTTAGTCTTTATCCTTTTTTTTCCCCCCAAGGTCTTTTCTCCTTGGGTTATTCAAAACCAAAAATCACCTCCATGCTACAGCCTCAGCCCTTACTAGATGTATCTGTACCTTCCCAGTGAAACCACCCAGTAAATAAATGGACTTTCCATCAGTTCCATCTTCTCCCATAACCCACCACCAAAGGTGAATGCTGAGTTTTGAGTGACGTCAGGCAGGGAACTTGCTCAGCCTGCACGCTGGTTTGAAACAGGCAGAGTTTGGCTGCCTAGGCTGGATTTTGGGGGGGGGCAGAGCAGAAGAAACAGAAAAAAAAGATTTTCAGGGACTTCCTGGCCACAGAAAATACTAAAATCCCCACAGAGCAGTGATCAAGCACAAGTTGTAACTCTGCTGCCCAGCAAGCACATTATGTGTGGAGATGTGTATTTTATAGATACAGAACATTCAGGCTCTCTGATTACCCTGACAATAAACATCCAACATTTAACACATCACTGAAGTTAAGGATCATTTGTGATGCATTAACATTCACTTCCTTCTATGTGCTGCACATCCAACAGGGAACATGCAAACTTACCTGACATAAAATAAATCTTTGTGCACTTCAAAGACAGACACCCATTAAGATGAATCATGTGTTAATCATTATTACAAATCTGAACAAAATACACCATGGATTTTCCATCATCTGTTTGCTTACCAATGCTGCAGCTACAAAACAAGCTTTCTATCAAGGCTGTAACACATCCTAACCCACCCTGCACACAGTGAAAGCTAATTAACTGTAACATTATGGTGCTGGAAAACCCTTGTGGTGTTAGGAAGGGCTCAGGATCTTCAAGGTTCCTCCTGTAATTTTTGTTAAACATGGAATTTCCAACCTTGTATTTGATAGATTTTCTCCTTCAGGCATTTTATTGCAAGAATTTTTTATAGAAGCTTACAGCAACTGCAGCCAACAACATCCCAAGCATTAGGAAGGGGTTGTGTTTATATCCAATTTACTGATATCTGGTTTCAGAGCAGCTCCACACTGCTTTAGTGGACCCACTTCTGTCTTTCAGGTGTTACCAAAGATCAAAGGATGGCCAGGATGCTGACCTGTAGCTATTCTGTGCTTTCTTCAGTGCCATCTCCCCCTCTTTTCCATGCCTTTTTGGACAATGGCCACTACTACAGGCCTCACAGCCCCCAAACCCCCTCAATACCTGATTTTCTCATGGGGGCCTGGAACTGGCAGGTTTTTCCTCCCAGTCATCCTCAGTCACCAGCTTGGCTTGTGAATAAGGCGGGGAATGAAGAGATGCACAACTGCAGACATCATGGGAAGGAGTTAACACCCTTTTTCTTTGGGATCACTGAAAGACCCCCTTGCTTAAACTGTGATAACAGGCAGGACTAGGTAACAGGCTGCTCAGCACACCTGTGTGGGGAACAGACACAGAACCCATTACCTACAGATCATGTCATAAACACCCTTTTGCTCTTGCAGAACACACATTAACAGCATCCACCTGAGCCCATACCCCATAAACATGTTATACCTCACGTGTTCCTAGTAAACCAGTTACGGAGCCTTAAGAAGCGTTTAATACTTGACCAAGATCCCAAAGCACTTCAAACATGACCGGAAACAAGTGATTAACATGTTTTTAGCAAACATGAAGTCACCCCAGAATGGGCCATTACCCAGTGGAGCGCACGGGCTGTGGGTATAAATGGGAAGGTTCCAGCAGAGCACCGCACTTGGCGTGGCTGGTCCCTCCTGCCCTGCCCACACCAGGCACGAAGAACCCTCAGCACCATGAGGGGCACAGCGCTGGCACTGGCCTGTCTAACTCTCCTGACTGTGGCACAGGGAGGACAAGGGGAAGGAAACACTGTGAGGCTCTGTGGGAGAGACTTTGTCAGAGCCGTCGTGTTCACCTGTGGCGGCTCACGCTGGAAGAGGCATCTGACTGATCATCGCCACCTCTTGGGTAAGTACCAATTGAAGCACCACAGGCTCATCTTCAGTGCATCCAGCTCCAAGGGGACTCAGAAGCAGCACAGTCCCTGCAGGCTGTGCCTTGGGAGCCCTCCACTCCCACTGTTCCCCTCGATAGCTCCAGCACCAGCAGCACGGGCTGTGCTGGGAGGCAGTAAGCGAAGCACTGCAGCTCCACGTGTTCTCTCTCCTTCCAGCTTGCCTAGCTTAGCTCTGTGTGCTGTTTTGCTAAAAAAACCCCAACTATTTAGCTCAAGATTTTTCAAGTCCACCTGAGGAACAGGAGCTAAACCAAGGCTATCATTGAAAATCTCTCTGCCATCCTGTTTCAAGTGCCAGGGGTGAGCTTTGCTGCAGGCAATGCAAGTGTCTTACTGCTGCCTGCACTTTCCCCACTAGAAACCAGAAACTTTATCACAACTTAAGAATATTACAAATAAAGCATGTTGAATATTTACTCTGCAATTTAAGTATCTTCACAAGCTGTTGTATATATCTATACTCATTAGCACATTTTTGGATAGCAAGAAAATTCAGCCATTACATGCACTGCTAGGAATTTGCACGCTGACAGATTAAAATAAATAGAAAACAAGAAAATAACTGAGTTAGATGACAGGAATAGAGACTTTCTGCACTTCCCACACCCGCATTTTTGGAAAACTTCTTATAGCAGCAGCTCTAAACAAATACAAAAAGAGATGCCACCCACAACACCCTCCGTGAGAATCTGGTGCTAAACTCAGCAAGAACTACTACACCTTTACAAACTCCAGAAGGCAGTGCCCAGATGTCCAAAAGTGTTTAAAATGCAGCTGAAATGCGAGTGTAATTGAAGTGGGAACACCCAGGACTATGATATTGTGGTGTAGGTGATGCCCTAATGCAAAACCTGCATGCCAGGAATCCCACAGGCAGGCCCAAGTTAATGTGCCAGTCAAGAGCCATTTACACATCTAACCACAGTTTTTCCCTTGGAAGCAAATATATCAGTGTAAGACTGACAAGGCAGCAAAGAATACTCTTAAATATAAATCCATGAATTACTGGGTTTTTAAACACATTGCTCAGACTGTGAGCAAGTCGGTGACCTGGTACATGCTGGTTGCTCACATCAGGAACATGGAGTGTAACACCGTCAGCTCCCTGGCTGTAGGGTGGTGTGTCTTTCTAGTAAAGATAAATACTTAAATTACTCATCTTTCCGTGACTTCTAACTCTTAGCTTCTAATTTTTATGCCACAGAGAGTGAAAACCCCCAGCCTTTCCCACACAACGGTGACGCCGACTCCTCAACCTACACAGACCAGAGACTGGGGACCGACCGCGAAGAAACCCACGAGGTCAGGTCCGAGCCAGAGCAAGACTTGCACCACATCAGCAAAATGTCTGTGCTAAGCAAGCGTGAGGCAGCCAACCTGCTCACCACATCCTGCTGCAACGTGGGCTGCAGCAGGAGGGAGATCAGCGCCCTGTGCTGAAACGGGGCTGCTGAGGCTCAATATCACAGCTTCCATAGATTAAAATAATCATGACATAAACCACAATTAGTTCAGTTGTGTTCTTTAATTGTAGCTTTGAGTGTTAAATGTCATAGTGCACACTAGCAAGTGGCTGCAGTGACAGTTCAGGTTGACTGGATTTCACAGGGTTTACAAGAGGTTTAGTTAAACTCATTCATGAGTACAAATATTTCTTTCTAACCAACTACTTTTCTAGTTTCAGCTTTGCATGTAAAATGTAATAAAATAAGCAATCTATGATAGGTTTGTTCTCTTACTCAGGAAAATCCAACAGCAGGTTTCAGCTGGGAAACAGGAGAAGCAAAAAGTCTGGTTTCAGAATCAGAGCAAGGCACAGGAAGCTTTGTCACACTGCAAGGTCAGCCAGACCCCAACCAGTGGGGAACGGCTGCTCCAAGAGAGACCCGGGACCATCAGCCCCAGCCTCTAAAACGGATGGGCATAAACTCACAGTTTATCTCCTAATCCACCTGCTTTCAATAACATTTCCCTTAAGTCCAATTTAACAGACAGTTAATTTGCACCCAGGGAGACTGAAAACACACTTCTGAGCTGAGGGCTGTATTGCATCTCTTATCTAAGGGCAGGTATTGGCTGAGAACCACAGCTGAAATTCAGTATTCTTGATTCAAGCACTTTCACTAGAAGGGCCCAGATATGTCAATTTATATACTCTAAACATAGTATCATTTAAAGACAATTTTCACTTCATTTCACTGGTCTTCTTCTTCCTAGATGGAGAGGGACTGACAAGGCCATGGAGTGGCAGGACAAGGGGGAATGGTAGCAAACTGAAAGACAGCAGGGTTAGATTGGAAATTGGGAAGAAATTCTTTCTCGTGAGGGTGCTGAGGCCCTGGCACAGGCTGCCCACAGAAGTTGTGGCTATCCCTCCCTGGAAGTGTCCAAGGCCAAGTTGGACGGGGCTTGGGGCAACCTGGTCTAGTGGAAGGTGTCCCTGCCCACGGCAGGGTGTGGAACTGGATGAGCTTTAAGATCCCTTCCAACCCAAAGCAGTCTGGGATTCCATAATTCAAGCAGAACTAGCTACCTTCTCTCAGCCACCTTTCCTGTGCTCAGGCCTGGCATGCACTAAATGCCTGCAAACATCATTAACAGAGATTGTCTTAAAATGCTCTTGTTTTACTCTCCAAAAAACCCTTTGTGGTTTCTGCTCGGGGATCATGGAATGAAGGCAAATTCAGGGAGATAAAAACATTATAGGGAATATTCCTAAAATATTATTTTCCCTGCAGGGAAACTTCTGAAAGTAGCGAGAATTAGGTGCAAAACAGTGTGTCAGAGAGAACCACTTCCCAGAGAAAGCTCTGGGAAACAGTTAATTACATTTACCCAAAGGCTCACAGTAGCCACATTTCAAAACAGGTGAGAGTACTTTGGTCCTTCACAAATGTTTTCAACAACAGAAACAGGAAGAGTTAGGCTGAACTTCCATTTCTTCTGCTTTTAAGCTCGACTACCTCCCTATTCAAAATACACACCATAGACATTTGCAACAGCAAACAGGGAAGTATTCTTGAACACATATGATGAAAACGTGTCGCTCACAGGATCCCACAGGCACCTGCTCCCAATCTGCATGCTCTGCTCATCCAGCTGCCCAATGTGTGTCACCACCACAATCTTGTACCGTGGGATCACAAGGTCTTTCACTCGCGCTTTAACCATCTGCAGGAGAAAAACAAGTTTAGTCCATGTGTTCAAAGATGAGACAGACGTTTAGCAGGGCAGGACAAGGGGGAATAGTATTAAACTGACAGAGGATGGGGTTAGACTGGATATTGGGAAGGAATCCTTGGCTGTGAGGGTGGTGAGGCCCTGGCACAGGTTGCCCAGAGAAGCTGTGGCTGCCCCATCCCTGGAAGTGTCCAAGGCCAGGTTGGACAGCGCTTGGAGCAAACTGGGCTAGTGGAAGGTGTCCCTGCCCATGGCAGGTGGTGGAACAAGATGAGCTTTAAGGTCCCTCCCAACCCAAACCATTCTATTAATTAACTCGTATCCACGTGCACCCTCCTTAGAGCAACCCTCCTCCACCCTTTATTTCACACTTTATAGGTATTTTGGGGGATATCTGGGGAGCTCCCCAGCAGCCACCTCCCTCACACCCCATCGAACCATGAGGGCAGAATATCCACCTGCTCCCTCCTACCTCAGCGATGTCCTTCGCCACCTCCCTGCACTGCGCCGGCTCGTAGCGCTGCTCCCTCAAGTAACTCTCCACCACATCTCTCAGGATCTCATCTACTGCTGCCCCTGGGAAGCGCTTGGAAGGACCTGTGAGGCAAAGCTCGGGCTTATGAGGAAAAACCTGCCGGGCGGAAGGCGGTTTGGAGGTGCAGTCGTACCCAGACCCACCCGAGAGCGGGCCGCTTATGGCCGCACCGGCATCCATCCCCCTCCCGGTCCTCCACCCCCTCAGCGCGGAGGGAGGCGGAAGGGCGGCGGCCAGTGCCTCCCTGCGGCCACCGGGAGGGGGGAGTCGCCCTCCGCGTTCCCGGCCGCTGCGTTCCCGGCCTCCGCCTGTGTGCTCACAGCCTCCCGGGGGACTGTGTATTCCTACGGCTGCCCTGGGTCCCCATAGCTTCCACCAGTCCCTGTGTGTCCGTATAACCTCCCACAGGTGCCCACGGCTAACACAAGTCACCACAGCTTCCATAGGTCCCTGTGTGCACTTACAGCCCCCTAGGTCCCCATGGCTTTCACAGTCCTGGTGTCCCCTTACATCCCCCACAGGTTTCCCATGGCTCCCACAGTCTCCACAGGTCCTTGCATGTCCCCACAGCCCCCACAGGTCCCTGCATGTCCTCACAACTTCCACATGTCCCCATGACTTCCACATGTTCCCACAGACTCCCCCAAGGTCCCCACAGTATCCACAGGTTCCTACTTGCACCTAGAAGTCCCAGGTCCCTGTGGCCCCCACAGGTCCACACAGCCCCCCCAAACGTCCCTATGGTCCCCCTGTGGGTCCCCATGGGTTCCTATAGCCCTCACAGATTCCTATGACCCCTGTGGATCCACATAGACCCTCACACGTCCCAACACCACCCCTGACATATGCTCATGGCCTCCATGGGTCCTCTCGAGCTCCATCCGTCCGCGTGGTCCCTGTGGATTCCCAATATCCATCCCCACATGCCAACCCTGACCTGTCCCCATGTGGGACACTGTGCATAACTCCTGCAGCGATGACAGGTTTTGGGCCAGAGATGATTTTTTCTGGGCAAGGGACCCTTTTTTGGGCCAGCCCCCGATACCTCCGCCCATCTCCTCTGGGTTCTCTTGCTTATGGAAGCAAAGCTCACTCAGAAAAAGTATTGTTTTACTGGTTTTGTTTATTTTCAAGGAAAAAATAATAATCACATTTAAATTGCAACTCAATTGGGTATTTAATGTGGATCTTATGTATAGAATTAATAAACTTTGTTCTGACATGGGGATTTATCTGTCGCAACGTTATGCGTGGTAAATAATTGCATATTCGAGATTCAGTGAAATGGGTGACAGGGAGAATGGAGGAGAGACATTTATAAAAAACAGTATTTACAAAAATGATATCCACATAGTTGTACTCTAATCTATAAGGCAAGTAACATTTAAAATATGTTGTTTCATGATTATCTTCAACAAGTCAATACAACACATTCATATTACCAGTGGTCAAATACAAAGCTTCGCTGCAGTAGTCCCTGTGCAACAAACCTGTATGTCTTTTACAGTTTTTTTTTTCTCTGAGAACAGTAGGAAAGCAGCAAAGTTTTCATCACAGACTAAGCAGTACCTAGGCCATCGTAGACTAAAGGTATAATATATCTCATTGCACGTTTAGGCAAAAAAGGCCAGCCATTCATTAACTTATTTAACTTAAATCTTAAAAATAGACCTGTGTATCTTAATCCACAAATATTTATAAACATTTTATACATGAGGGAGTTAATAAAATGATACAGGGTGATACCTGGGGAAGTCTGATTCACTGCTGGGGTGTCCTGGTGAGGTTCTCCTGCATTCCATGCCCTCCACCCACCAGCCCTGGCTGCAGGAGAGGAGCTTCACAACACATCCCAACGGGATTCCTCACTCACCATGACGAACATCTCCACATGTTTTATGTAATCCAAGCAACCAGGTGACTTCATCAACCTTAAAGCATTTTGGAGTGGAAAAGCCCATCCCTGTGTGGATGAGGAACGTGACAGCAGGATGGCTGTACCCAGAAATAGTGGGATTTCTAATGAAGGAACAAGATATCCCAAATGCCTCACTAAAACCTGTTGTGTTTCACCACATCTTGCATGGCCTGTTGCCGAGTCCTGCTTGTCTGAAAACCTTGGAAGAGCATCACCACTTTAACGCTCATGGTTTCAAGAACCATCGCCAGCAGCATCATCCCTCCTAAAGGGAAAGGGAAGGCAGGAGCAGGGCATATTCCTGTAAATCTTTTCCTAGCCTTGCAGTGAAATAAGAATTAAAATCCTGATTGAAATAAGAACTAAAATCCTGATTGAAATAAGAACTAAAATCCTGATTATCATAAAACCTCCCCAGCTCTGTAAGGATTACTTTCCTTGGGAAATGGTGAGAAAAAGAAGAACAGAAGAATTCTGGCTATGAAATGAAATCTTTGAGGCAGTAATTTCTTACCAGGAAAGTATGACATGATGTTACATATAAAATATGTCAAGCTTCAAAATTAAGTGTTTTAACCAAGATGTTTTCACATAGAACCAACAGAAGAGTAGGGGAAAAACCACTCCATACTTAGTGTATGGATGTAAGGTTTTTTTAATTAGATGTTGAGTGTTTGGGTAACAGATCCATGGGCTGTATGTCAAAAAAAAGGTGGAATAGAGCAGGATTCGTCTGTGACCCAAAACTGCCCAACGTGCCCAGTGGGCCTGGAAACATTTGCTGACAGAGATTGGTAGCCAAGGATGAGGTCTGAATGTTTTTAGTAAAAGATGTTTGATTCCTTCTTAAGTCTTTTAAAAATCTTCTCAGTGCACTCCAGTCTTTTAAAATACCTCTGCTGGGAGAAAGGGAAGTGGTGACTCTTTATGTGATGCTTGTGCTGGAGGAATCTTGGGTGGCTGCAGCCTTCCCTCTCCATCCACTTCCTGCCTGGCTAAAACAGGATGACATTCCAATGGAAATTTCTAGGTTTTTCCCACCTATGTTTTAAAAAACTTTTAATAGATAAAACCTGAAAGGGCAGATCAAAGGCAAAGTAATTTAAATGAAATCCTGAATGACAGCAAAGATAAGAATTATTGAACAGGGGACCGATATTTAAGAGGCACCAAATGCAGGCACCAAATGAAAAGCTCATTATTTGGTAGTATTTCATACTAGTGAGTGATTTCATAGTTATTAAGAAATACTGTTAAAGTAGAAAATTGGTCTGAAAGGTCTCCTGTGAGGAGCACAATAAGCTGACTGAGAATCCTGACTGTTTACAACAAACAGGAGAAAAGTTACCTAAAAAATTTACTTCCTGCTCCCGACATCTGAAAACCCAAGTCTTCGGGTGTCTGTGGGGGAAAACCCTCCTGCTCCATCAGAGGAACTTTGACTCTGCAGGTGTGGGCTGCTGAAATTCCCAGGGGAAAATTCCTCTGGGAGAGGTTGCTGAGACACAGTCTAAAGGGAAGGGTCCACGGGAGTAACTGAGCTAAAGCCTTTCTATGCATGCATCCATATATTTTTATTTAATGCCTCCTTTATTTGTCCTTTTTTTCACTCAGATAGATCAGAGTGCTGCTGAGCTCAGGAGTGCTAGAGCTGGGCAGTGCCAGAGGGCTGAGCCCCCTTTCCAGCCTCAGTCTGACCTGGCAAAAGACCTGCTGGACCACATGCTGGGAAACAGAGCAGTGGTGCTTCCCACTAGGAGTGCTCCCAGAGCTGGAGCCCCTCTGCTCTGGAGACAGGCTGAGAAAGCTGGGGGTATTCAGCCTGGAGAAGAAAAGGCTCCAGGGAGATCTTAGAGCCCTTCCAGTGCCTAAAGGGGCTCCAAAAGAGCTGGAGAGGGACTTGGGGCAAGGGCTTGGAGTGATAGGACAAGGGGGAATGGCTTCCCACTGTCAGAGGGCAGGGTTAGATGGGATATTGGGAAGTGATTCTTGGCTGTGAGCGATATACATCCCTATACATGCTCCTATTTGATGCTCTACATTAAACACTCAGACCAACCTAAGCTGCTGCCCATAACCTTTTTCTGCTGAGACCTTCTCAAAGCCAGGCAGGAAGACCAGGCTCCTGCACTCTGGACTCGGGAACAACAGTTGTGTTCCCAGCATTGGGTAACACTGGGGTGCCACATTCGTACGTGCAAGACAAACGCCCAGCAAAACCAGCATCCCTGTGGCACTGCTAAAACACTACGCAATAAAACTGGCCAAAGCAGTATGGAAGGAACCTGTCCTCTGTCCCAAACAGCTGGTTTTGGTCCCAGTGTTGTGGGTTTGGTGTCACCTGCCCATGGCTGGAGGGGAAACCATATCTCTGTGGGGCTGGAAGTGTGATGGCACATTGGACACAGCCCTGCCAACCAATTCACCCCAGAAAGTGCACAGAACTGTCCCATCTCTCTACCTAGGCCACAGGAGCTGCATCCCAAAAAAGTGACTCCATTTTGTGCCACAGCACAAATGGGATGAGCTTGGAAGCTTTGGGTTATGGGTTTTTCTGTTTAAAAAGCATTCAAAAACCCAATGCTATGTAAACACCTTGTCTCTCGAATGAAATATAAAGTAAAATCTCTATGTTCTGGGAATATTTACACAATAAACCCCTTATTTTTGGGCGTATGCCATAGATCTCTTTTGGAAGAATGAGTTTGTAACCGTTGTACACAGCATGAAGTGATGAAGAACTGATTCTTAGGGTTTGCCCTGTATTCCTGTGTCAGAAAGGGGTGGGTTACACACTTTATACATATTTCCAGTTCAGGGGGAAAATCATTAATGGAGTGGGACACTCCATCCAGGAGCACTGCTGAGTGTACTTCCAAAATCTGCCAAGATGTGGGAAGTTGCAGAACCAAATTGTGCTTTATCTTCCCTGTTGCTGCCTTTTGTGAATGCACACACAGAGCTCACCCCTCAATCTTACAAATCGCAGCCTGGGAGTCACCTCAGACCTGAAATATCTCCAAATTTCCTTTTTTTTTTTTTTTTTTTAGATGGGCCCCGCTCTCTGTTTTTCTACATCAATCCAAACTGCTCAATAATCAAGCACTTCCCAACATGCTCAGTCTAAGTTTTCCAATGCAAATACACAAGCCTAATCCTGGCAACATTTGTGACTGTAAAATCAGAACTATTTGTCATCTTACACATTCCCGAAGTCCCCAGCACCCAGTTCAGTGGATGCTCCTGAGCTTCTCTGTGCATCTGAACTGCAACTGTGTTTAATTTTGTAAAGAGCCCTTCTTTTCTTTCCCAATATTGCCAAATTCTCCCATTAAACAAGCTCCACATCTCAGCAGATGCTGTGCCATTAATGCCACCAATGCTATCACCATGTTGCCAGAAGTAGGATGAGACCAACGTCAACAAGATCCCAAACGCTGCACAGGGATGAGCAGCAGGACACCAGTTCCCAGGAAAAACACAGAGGGATAATTTTTTGATCCCCAGCCTCCCGTTTAGCACTTTCATGTATTTTCCCATCTCCAGGAGAGAGCTGCTCCCAGTGCCAGCAAGGCTGGCTCCTGCCCCACTGTATTTTGGCAGCTCCCCAGGGAGTTGTTTCCCAGTCCATACACACTTTCCCGCCTTAGTGGTAAAATGGAAAGGCCTTGGGGGGCTGCATGTCTTTAAAACATTTTCTAAACCCATAGGGCTTTCAAAAATGGGGGGAAAGGCAGAAAAGCGAGCAAAGGAACGTAAAAATGCAACCAAAAATCTGGAGGCGGCTCCGAAAACGCATCCTTAAAAACAGCAGGAACATTTCCTGACAGCGCTGTGAGCTCAGATTTACCACCCAGTCTCTTTGCCGCTTATTTCCTTATCTGAATCCCTGCAAAATATATGGACATGGGGTAAAGAGAAACATTGGTCACCTACATGCTGCCGGGACTCCTGACAGGGAATCTGCAGCTGTAAGAGAACACGGGGCAGGTTGGGAATTTGGAGTAAATACTCCTTGTAGATTTTTTTCCTGGGAGACTGTGCTAGGAACCTCCACCTTTACAGCGATATTTCTCTGGATTTAAACCAGCTAAACCTGAAGATTAAGCTTTTATTCATCGCTGTGAAACGTACTAAAGACTGAAGGGAAAGTAAATCAGCATGTGGGCTCTACTGAACTCTCTTTTGATGAGGCACCCCCTTCATAACAGCTACCAGTATTGTATTTAAATTGTATATATTGACAAAATGTAATCTACCTCTGTAAGCATTGTGCCATTCAACAGTACTACTATTAGATTTATATACCACAGTTTAAATTACATCCATTTCATGAATGGTAAAATGCTAAAACTCAAGTGTCTAACTGCCAAAATACAGCCTTACTGGAATGAGTACAATTTACAAATACAATAATTACATTTTAAAACCATTAACAATGTTACATCTAGAAGTAAATACTGTAGGACTGGTCAAGACGGTGTTTTCCAAGGAAAAAAAATGCTGAAAGTTGTCGACACTTCCAACAGAAATGTCCCAAGTGCAGGATTTAGTTCATTTTCCTTAAACTGTAGTTAAAACCCGTTCCACACACAGCAGTCCTTGGGTATTTTCCATAGTATTTTCCACAGACTTGCATAAGCTTCCATCAGTTATCAGCCAAGTATTTACCTAGAAATGGGATCAGAAATCAACTGAGGGGAGGGAGCAGCCCTGGTTCCTAAGGGATGGTTGCCCACCTCCGCCAGCCCCGCTCCCACAGGGCACACGGGAAAATCCTTGTATTTCTCTGCAGCAATGTAATACATGGAAGAATCCCTGTATTTCTCTGCAGCAGATCCCAGGCTTTGCCTTTCATGAAGGAACACCTGAGCAGGAAAGAGCCCATGAAATTCCAGGCTCCCATAAGTGGCAGCAGGATTTATGTCATGCAGTGGAGCTGTTGCCCCTCTGTCCCCAGCCAGCCCTATCACACTGAGCTGTGGCAGGAGCTCTGGGCTTCAGCAGCCAACAAATACACAGCAGGAGCATTCCCAGCATCCCAGCACAGGCAGAGAGGAGCCACTGGCAAGGCACCTACCTGCTGCAAACCTTTTCTTGATGAGGGAGAAGCGGTACCCAGCGCCCACGAGCTCAATGTCGCAGCTGGACAGGGTGCTGCCCTCGCTGGTGAACTGCACGGCCAGCGGGGCTGGGCTGCTCGGCCCCTCTGACAGCTGGAACCGGGCCAGCAGAGACCCCACACCTGCAATGGAAGTGCCACATGAAACCCTTACAAGCCTGGAGAGGCGCACAGAGCACCCCAGCACTGGGTTTGCCAGCAAAGCTCTCTAATGGCTTAAAACATTTCTTAGATTGGGCCCCACAATATAAGAAATATACAAAACCATTAGAGAGTGTCCAAAGGAGGCCAATGGAGATGGGGAAGGGCCTTAAGGGGAAGTTGTGTGAGGAGCGGCTGAGGGCACTTGGTCTGTTCAGCTGGAGAAGAGACTGAGGGGAGACCTCATTGCAGCTACAGCTTCCCTGGGAGGGGAAGAGGAGGGGCAGGTACTGATCTCCACTCTGTGGGGACCAGTAACAGGGAATGGCCTGAAATTGTGTCAGGGAAGGTTTAAGTTGGATCTTAGAAAAAGGTTCTTCCCCCCCAAGGGGGTGCTTGGGCACTGAACAGGCTCCCCAGGGCAGTGGTCACAGCACAAAGGCTGAGAGAGCTCAAGGAGTATTTGGATGATACTCTGGGGCACATGGTGTGACTCTTGGGGATCCTGTGCAGGGCTAAGGGTTGGACTTGATGATCCTTCCAACTCACATATTCTGTGATTCTGTGAGATGCCCAAAGCATCACAAGTGAAGCCCAGTCTCATGGGGCTCCCCAACCCTCCAGCATCCCTGGAGCAGGAGGCAAACTCCTCTCATCCTCCCAGCAGAATTTGACTTTTCAGACACCCCAGCAATAAGGAGCAGCTGAGCATGTGGGTTACACATGGAGAAGCCACTTGTGGGAGACTGTGGTCACCTCAATGGGGACACAATGTGGGGCCTCAGCCTTCAAATACAGAAGGTCAAGGGACAAAGGACTTGGCAAACCACCATGTCCAAACCTGGTGTGTTAATACCCTCCTGTGATGCCAAGGCACTTGGCAAAGCAGCACCAGTGGCACGTAGCCCTGCTTTTCTAAGCTCTGCTTTAAATAGCATTCTCCCTGGCAAGTCCCAGCAGGAATCTTTGTGTCTGGGCTTGTGTGCCGGCATGATAAACGGGTCAGTGTCTGATTTAAGGATTCAGAGTTAATAACATGCATATTTTGAGGATTACCTCCATTTTCTGACTTCTGAGAGATATCAGGGATCTTCCACAATATCCTTTGCTGTTCAGCATTCCTGAAAACAAATGAAAAAGAGCATTTCTGTAGGAAACAAGAAATTGCCAAGAAGTCATTTGAATTTTTCTAAAGGCTGTGTGGGCTGGTGGTGGGGGCGACCTGCTCCGGTGCTGCTCTCTGGAGCTGCAATTCTGGGAGCTTGGATTTGGGTTTGGCAGAGCTGGGTTAACGGCTGGACTTGATAGTCTTAGAAGGCTTTTCCAACCAATATAATTCTATGACTGTATGAGCTGAGCAGGAAAATGCTGTCCTTGGATTGCAGGTGAGCGATGGGCAAGAGGCAGTGCTGTGCCCTCCTGGAAATGTTCATGCCACTGCCTATGGGAGCAACAGCCATGCATACCTCCATAGGATCACAGCATCCCAGACTGGGTTAGTTGGAAAGGACCTCAAAGCTCATCTCATTCCACTCCCTGCCATGGACAGGGACACCTTCCACAAGACCAGGTTTCTCCAAGCCCTGTCCAACCTGGCCTTGGATGCTTCCAGGGATGAGGCAGGCAGCCACAGCTTCTCTGGCCAACCTGTACCAGGGCCTATGGCAGTGATGGCCCTGCACCCCTCTGAGCCCCGGAAAAAGCAGCCATAACACAAAATAAGGGCTGATGCTCTGCTGCCCACACACATGCATTCATCTCTGACCATTTTCTTGTGGGAATGGCAAGAAAAAATAAATCAGAGTGGGGTTGCAGCCTTCCTTCTGCAAGAGGAGGGAAGGTTTCGGTTCCTAGTGTGCCCCCAGCTCCCACCCACAGACCCTCCTGAATCAAGCCTCCTCCTGCAGTTCTAGGCAGGGACACAGCAGAGAGAGGGAAGGAGCTCAATCCCTACCAGACAGCGGGAGGAAGCACAGCTTGAAGTTTGGTTACTCCTCCATCGACGGGGACGAGGAACTGGACGTTGTTTAGAGCTACCGGTGTGGTCATTGCCTCTGTATTGTATTTGTAGTCGATGCGGAGGTCAGTGCTTGCAGGGTCACACCGCCAGCTCACTGCAAGGTTTAATGGAGTAGACTGAATACCCTGGGCAGATACCTTCCAAAACGACAGAAAAAACATTTAGTTTCCATAGGGGTGAAGGGAGAAGTCCCGTTTTACAGCCGCGCTCATCGCATTCGGTTTCAGAGGAGGCAATACCTTGTACTCCCACCAAAACTCCGTACTGGGCTCAAAGCCAGACAGTCTAGTGCCACAAGAAGGGACTAAAGGGATAACATGCCCCCACCTCACATTAGCTACACTCTGCACTAGGGAAACACCAGCTTTTACATCTATAATTCAGCAGAGGGTTTTTTTGGCACAGTTTTATCTTACAAAAAAACCCTACCTGGTATTTGAGCATATCCACATTGTAATAGGTGGCTTGCGGTTTCTGTTCCGATACCTTCTTTAGGTGAGTCATCAGATTTGGCATGTTGACCCAGAACTCCTTCGAGTTGGTGTCACTCTGCACGCTGTCACTGCAGAGAGAGAGAGTTAACCCTTTACAGAACCTGCCTTGGCAGGAGAAAGCTGTTCTACAAAGCACATGGGACAGCAGTCACCAGCTGTGAGTGACTGCACTCAATCCCACATCTATGGGAATATTGGCTGCCTCCCACACATCTCTGGCTTGTCCTCAGCTGCCTCCAGGGAGGCACAGCAAATATAATGCATAGGTTATCTCATTTTGCAAAGAGAAGGTTTAATGAGCAGAGCAAAGGACAAACAAAGCACTTGGCTCCTCACTGCTGGTGCTCTTCTACCTGGCATGGGTCTGTGTTTTTTTATAAAGTCCCCTAGTTTTCTGGAAACCCGCCTTCATTTGGGACGCTGGCAAGGTGGGTCCTTACCAGCAGAGGAGCTGGGGGTTTGGCAGGACATGCTCCAGCCTGTTGTAGTTCAGCACCCGGAAGGTGAGCACCGCCGGCGTGGGATTATTGGCAAAGTGTCGGGTGATGCCTGCTGGAAATGACAGCACCATCTCCCCTGTAATCTTCACGATACACCTGCAGTGCCAGACACAGAGACGGAGGGTCAGGAAAGGGAGGCTCAAAATGGAGCACGAGGGGAGGGCTTGCACCAAGGATGGTAGTGACAGCCCCCCAGTTCCCACCCCAGGTAATGACACTGTTGCGTTCTCAGAGTGAGCAGAAGCAGCACAAAGGCTGACAGCCCGCCAGGGACAATGGTCATGGGGCACTGCAGGAGCGTCCTGATGCTGGACCCCCACCTGGTGCAGTGCACTGACACCCCAACATGCACATGCTTAGCCCAGAGCACCTCCTGTCCTCCCTCCCAAACCCTTAGGATGCACCCCAAGCCTGTCGCAGTCCCAGAAGCCCCATATCAACATCCAGACCCCATTGGTAAGCACCTACTTGTTGGGGTCGGCCCCTTTGAAATACGCATTGACTGTTTCTGTGAAGGCGGCAGCGACAGGCAGGGTGTCCTGTGCCCCCATGGTGAGGGGGCTGGGTCCCCGTGATGACCCTGCAACAAAGCAGACACCCCCACTTGGGACCACAGAGATGAACAGCCCCACTCTCCCCGGCCCAGGGTGAGGGGGTGCTCACCAGGAACCCCAGCCTAACTTCATGGGCAAATAATAACAAAAAATTCCCCAGGCTTTGGATGAGGTTTTAAAAATGGTTTTAAATTATCTTTCCCTCCCCCTCCAAAAGCAAGCAAAGAAAATGATGGAGGAGCCCCAGGCAGGAGCAGCATGCAGGGCCGTGGCCCCCCAGTGTGGGGGCTGCCACACGGCAGGTTTGCATGACAGTTTTTGCAGTTGGTCTCTGAGCCCCGGAAAAAGGGGCTAGGGGGGTTCATTGTCTCTTCACCAGAGAGCTCAGGCTGCCTGTGGGAAAGTGGGGTGTCAGCAGTCTCATGATGCCTGAACCCCAACCTGCGGAGACTCCTGCAATCCCCTCTCCTCTCCTGCCCAGTGAGCCAAGAGGACCTCCACTCCCTGCTCACCCCACAAATCCCACAGTACCCCACAGAAAATCTGCAAATCATCAAAAATCTGAAACTACAGAGGCACAGGCTGGCCAGTGTAGTTGTGTCTGCCTCATCCATGGAAGTGTTCAAGGCCAGGTTGGATGGGCTTGGAGCAACCTGGTCTAGTGGAAGGTGTCCCTGCCCATGGCAGGGGCTGGAGCAAGATGGGCTTTGAGGTCCCTGACATCCCAAACCATTCTAGGATTCCATGATTAAAATAAAGGGAAAAAGTTTGCTTTGGTCATGCTGTGCATCCACGGACACCCGCCAGACTCTAAAATAATTAGCCCTGCAGGATCGCTCGCAGGTTTCCCTTTGCTGACCAGGAATTCTTGTCTCCAAAAAAATTTGAGGATGAAATCTTCACTGCAAGTGCACCTCAGAAGCCCCAAGTGTGCTGGAAACCCTGCATGGGAGACAACATCCTGCTCCCTGTGCCCACCACCAGGGGAGTCGAAGGTGCTTTTGGCACAGCAAAGTCATCACATTTCCCCATGGAAAGTGTCCAAAGATCAGCCCAGGGTTAGTGTCAGGTCACCTACCCAATGTACAAGGTGCTAAACCTGTGGACACCCAAAAAATCTTGGAGAGGTCATGCCCCTGCCCTGGCACTGGTGGCTCAGCCTCATCTATTTCCTGCAATGCACCGTTTTGGGACCTTTTTGTTTACATCACATTCTGTACATCAGGTTAAGCATGAGGATTATTCTGCCCCAAACCAGGAATGACAAAGGTCTCCAGAGGGGCACCTTACCCAGGGACCACAACACCCCTCACTCCATCACCTTCATCGCCAGGGTCTGAGTCAGGCAGGTGAAAGGGGCGATGAATCCAGCCTGGAGTTTGTTTGGAACATGCAAGCACGTGCCAGCTCCAGCCAAAGCTGCAGGAATTCCAATGCCAGCCCGGGAAAGGGCAGCACCTCCACAGGTAGCAGGGCCAGGGGAAAGCAAAGCGAAATGTGGCCTGTTCCTGATGAGCTCCTGCTCTTCTGCTTGGACTATCCTCCAAAATTATCCCTCCCCTTCTTTATCTGCTGCTTCCCACCATTGCGAGTAAATAACAGGGTTTGGGTGCAGAAAATTGGGCTTCATAACATCTCCTGGGGAAAACATTTCCGTCACTTCAATCACACTTTGAGTTTCGATATATTAATTGAAAAAATTGTGATATTTGCCAACAAGGAGGATTCCTAACACCTTACCCAGGCACCTGTGCGTTAATGGATAAACCCCAAGTGCTCTCTCCTAGAGGCACAGATGAGCCCTTCCAGTGATGGGGTTTTCCCTTCAAATCTCTAATGTAGCATAAAAGGGTGTAAAAAATTCATGTAGCCATGTCTATACCTCAGTCATGCATCTTAAGAGGCTCAGGGGAATAAGTGATTCCAGCTGCAGCCCAGAATGAGGATAATCAGGAATGGTATCTGAGTGTCCCAGCACATGGGATGGGCAGCCGGAGCATCTCATCCACACACAACAGACCCATCACCACACACACATTAATTATCCTAATGAGCCCAGCGGGGCAGCCTGTGGCTCCCCAAGCCTTCTGCTCCTGGGGCCACAGCCCCAAGCTATCCACTAGGATGAACATCCCGCTGAAGAGTGGTCATGCCAGTGCCAGCCATGTGTGAGAGCATGGGCAGTTCCCCAAACCCATGGGACACGCTGATTTCCTGGCTCTGTGACAGAGAGAACATGCAGCAGCAGCACCATGGACTGCTGGGGTAACATATTTTAGATAAATTCTTTCCATAATACCACTGTTGGGTGATTCTTGCTCCCCACACCCTCAGCAATGACCTCCAGCCAAATCCAGTGGGATATTCCCATCACATCCACTCAGAAATACAGATGGGATTCAAAAGTGTCAGTGCAGGCTTGTTATGGAGGGGGAAAACCAGAGGTGACACCCAGCAGAGGAGCATCAGGCTTGTCTCATAGGGAAGGTGAGAAGGGCTTTAGCTGCCCACATGCAATCCCTAGCAATATAATCATTATTCCTTGGGAGAGGACTAAAACCACCTCATAATGGCAGCTGAGTCTAGCCTGGACCCTTCACCAGAGCATGGAATGAGGGGCAGGTGTCTCTCATACCAATGCACCTTTTCCCTGATTTCCCATCTCTTTTTCCCCATGTTCCTCTGCACATATATAAATTCCTTTATTCTCCAGAATGAAAAATCATCTCTACAGGAATAAATGGGCTGGTGTCATGGATCCCCATTACCAGGCTCAGCCAGGCTGTGGGAATCTGAGTTCACCTGAGCAGCAACTGCAACAAAACATCCTCATTTCTAATCCAGCTTTGAATAAAAATCACGTGGATGGAATTGAGGGTCTTGATTCCCTCCACTTTCTTCATGAACCTGCATATTCTTCTCTTAATGGCTTCAGAGAATAAATAACCTTTGACACTAAGGTTTTTACTAAAAAAGAAAAGTATAATCTATTTGAAGCAATGACATGATTTTCCAGAAACACAAGACAAATTCAGTTACCATGGCACACGTCCACCCAAAACCTGGCTTTTTAGTGACTGATTCAAAAGTAATTTTTAGAAACTTTTCATTTGGGCAAATGACCTGACAATAATGGAGAAAAAAACCCAAATCCATTTTATGGCACTTTGAATCCAGCCATAAGCAGCAAACTAGGTTCATTTGCCTTATTTTTCCCTAGGCAAAAGTGGAAAATACAGCTGTGGAATAAGGAGACATGAGTGACAGCAACCCTGGCCAGGAGAGCATCACCAAATCTTTTCACACACAAATAAACTACCCCATGTTCAGCAAATACACAGATCTTGTCACAAAAACCCCTCAAAATTCAGAAAGAAACTATTATTACTCTTCTGGCCTTCCATGTCCTGAGAGTTTCAGATGACAAACACAAAAGGTCTCCTCTCACTTCCCTGCAGATGAGCATTGAAGTTCAGAGGTTTTTTAAAAGTTGGACATAGATATTTAGAAATAAATCAGGAAATACAGTGCGTGAAAGTGAGATAACTCCTTTCTGGAACATGACCCTAGCCCAGAGGCAGTGCCATACTCCTGCAGGCCTGCTGCTGTGCTGGCATTCCAGGACAAACCCACTCCCTTCTCCACACCATTCACACTGCTAGAACCAAGTCAAAGAATTTCAATAACTTCAACACTCAAAACCACAAGAAAACCTCCAAGAGGTGGATGTGCTCGCAGGGCTGGTCCTGGACTGAGCGAGGGGAGGAGGAAGCACAGAGCAGGGGGATGCACAGTGCTGGAATACTTGTGCTGAGGGATAACATTGTCCCTGCTGTCCTCAGCTCTTTCTGGAGCTCTGGACAGGCAGGTGGCACCTGGGAAACCCAGGAAGGGTTTTTTGCAGGGAACAGCAAAATGGCAATGAGCACCAGGAAGAAGCAGCTCCCCCTGGATCTAAGCTGGGAGCTGCTGTTGGAGTTAGGACCATCAAAGCAGGGACTGTTGGAGCAGGGACCTTGGGCCAAGAAAAAGGGAGGAAAGGAAGGAACCAACTCCCTGGTCAATGCCACCTCAATTCCTGCCTTCTGCTGCTGCTACTCCATCACTCTCACCAGGATGGGCTTTGCTCCGTGATTCCAAGCCCATCCTCAGTGGCCTGGCAGTACCCATCCCAGGCCACTTGGCATTTTTCTGGGATGGACACACTTTGGGACTCACATGTGGAAACAGTGCTCTGGCATGTCCTGTGCCAACAGCATCCTCCAGCTCACTCCAGCCCTGCCTGCAAGCACTACAACAGCTCCAAACTCTTGCTTGGCGATTAAAAGCACCTACTCCTGCTGCAAGCAAACCTCCTGCTTTTATTTCTGTTTTTAAAAAGCAAAATGTGAGATGAGGCTTCCCCCAAAGCCTTGGCGCTCTCGGAGTGGGACTGGCTGCCCAGCCACCTACAGCTCTGCCCTACCTGGGAGTTGATGCTGCTTGGAGAACAAATAACAAGTTTTTCCCTTCCCTGCATCTTTCTCATCTATGGGGGACCCCAGAACCCCCAAGACCTTCAAGCAGCCACGCCAGCAGCACAACCTGCTGGTGTTTCAGCTCCCAGCCCTTCACTGCCAAAAAACCTGGTGGGAGGTGGGGAGGAGGCCCCAGCTTGGCAGAGAACCCATCATCCTTTGGATGCTAATTAACAGCACGTGGCCCAGCCCACTCAGGGTAAGGAGCAGCTCTTGAGGGAGAGTAGAGAGAAGCTCTGGTTGACAGAGTCAAGTTCCTTGGCAGTGCAAGCGGTTCCGCTCTCTGGTTTTCACCGCAGCCTCCATACGGGAATATTCAGAATGTTCTTTTGGGTCTTGCTTTGTTTGGGTTGGATTTTTTTAGAAAATAAATAAACAAGGAAAGAGATCATGGGGACAAATGGCACAAATCAAATCAAAATTGTTCTGGTTGAACTTGCGATGTCATCTAAGTAGCCATAGCATTTCGCACGGAAAGTCGGACTGGATGGAGTCTTGGGAGGGAACCCCGGGAGTGAGAGAGCGAGAGCAGGGGGAGCGAGTCGTTACAGGGTATGCTATGCACTACTTACCTTCGAAAGTCAAATAAAACTTTCCTCTGTCAAACCAAACGAGGGAAGGCTGTTCATTCTCTGTATGGCCAGGAGTTGAAGCGGGATGGGACAGGTTAAGGAGAGGGAGAGAGAAGGACACAGTGTGAGTCACAGAGCAGGTCATTTATCTCACTACGGGGAGGGGGCGAGGCGCTGCAAGCCGTTCACGTGCAGGGACAGGGGCTTAAACTCGGGCGTTGGCTTGGGAGACAGAAAGCAGAAAGCAAAGCTATGGAAGCCCAGATGGAAGAGTCCTTTTGCTTGGTAAGGAGTTTTGAGAGGTTTTCTCTTTTTTTGGCTACAGTAGAAGAGGCTTGTCGGCTCATGCACTCCATCAGCATGTTCTAACTGCGCTGATCTGGGCAAACATGCCGTGTCCTCCTCGCCTCCGGCGTCGTCTCCGCCAGCATTCCCGGTGGGATGCTGCTCCACATGCCACACCGGTGTGCACAATCAGTGACAGTGAAATGGAGTGTTCTCTGTTGCATTTCAGGACATTACACTTGCAGATAACCAGACACACGCACACAGAGCAGCAGCTGCCTAGCTGGAATCTTCCTTTTCCCATCACAACCACCAGCTCCCTGCTCTCACATCGCCTCAAAAGCCACGTTGGACTCCAAGTACTGCTGAAATAACTCAGGGTGTGTGGGGGGAAACAGCTTTTGGAGCTGTTAAATTAAGCTCTTTGAATTCAGGAGGTGACAACCTTCCACCTCAAAGTCCTTTTGGTCACTGAGAAACTGTCATGCAAGGTGATGCGAGCGGTGGGTGTCGCCCGCTCCGAAGGCGGATTGTCTGGAAAGCTCCCTGCCAGTACAGTACCTGCCGGCATTTCACTGCGCCTTTCAAACGCGGGCAGTTTGTCAATAAAAGCATCATCCTCTGATAACACAAGCAGAAGAAACGCAAAGGAAAGAAAAAAAAACAAACACAAAGAATGAGAACACGGATCCCAACTGAAACCAAGCAGCGCGTTGTATCAATGGAGAGACAGAGAGGTGATTTAACGAGAGAAATGAGGGAAGGGGCACTGACACCGGAGCAACAGCTTCTTTCTTTTCCGAAATTATTCAGACTGACATGCAACCACGGGAAAAGCACACCAGAGCAGCATGGACAACACGGAAATGGAGCAACCCTTCACATGCTCTTGGACAAACTCCATCAGACTTTGCCACAGGAAACAGAAGACGGGGAGAGTGTTGGAGACAGACCCTGTAGTAACCACAGGGCTGCAGGCAGCCCCAGATGGGTTGGGTTGTCCCAGCCCCCCAGGACCCACAGTGGTCCTTGACCTGCCCATCCCTGCACACCTTCCACTTCAGCTTTTCCTCTTTCCACAAAAATCCCCAGGAATCAGAAGTGCTCCCTCCTTCACTATGGATTTTCATGGGTGCTCATCCAGCATCAAGGCCCACCTTCGCCTTGGTGGGGACAAGGAGATGCTTGGACTTTCCCTGAGTGGGTCCCAAACCTCATCTGCCCCTGCCTGTCCCCCATCCAGCTTTTCCCAAGCCAAATCCTGGCAATGTGGCATCCACTGCTTGATTTATGTTGGATATTAGGAAAAGATTCTTTACTCGGAGGGTGGCTGGGCACTGAAACAGGCTCCCGAGGGCAGTGGTCACAGCACCAAGGCTGCCAGAGCTCAAGATGTGTTTGGAAAATACTATGAGGCACATGGTGGGAATGTTGGGGTGTTCTGTGCAGGGTCAGGAGTTGGACTCAATGATCCTGATATTAATTAATATTAATATCCTTCCAACTCAGGATATTCCAGAATTCTATGATTTAGTCTGTATGGAGCTGGAAGTGCAACAGCTGCAATCTGGGGTGCTCCTCCTGGCTGCCCCATTTGGAGTTCCCAAGTCCAGGGGTGACTTGGGAAGAGCCCTGATTTCAGCTGTCTTGCAAGGAAAATCCCCCATGGAGAGGGTGGGAGATGCTAGTGCCACCAGGCCCAGCCCCTCACCCCCCCAACAATGTCATCCCCACTGCTCAGCATGGGTAGGTCATTAAGAACATCAAGTAGCAGTTTTTGTTCATAAAAACATATATGTCAGAGAGAAAAAAATAAATTTGTATGACAGCCTGAGGGACCTGCTCAGCTGACAGGACCAGCATGCATCCCCCACACATGCCCCCTTTCCCACCCTCCTCCAGCCCCAAAACCATCCCTGTCCTCAGCCTGGCTGGTCCCCCCACCAAAACCATAGTCCCAGGTGCCCCGTGGCCACTGTGCCAGCAGGCACTGTGCCAATCCCACTGGCATCGTGGGGGACAGTGGGCACAAACAGGACCAACACACTGGGAATGCTCAGGGCTGGCTGTCCCTTTCTCCAGGTGTTTTGTTTTCCAGCAACACACTGTGACAGTGACCAACAGCCGGCGAACAAGTACAAGCACCTACGACACCTTGAGAGTGAAGCAAACAACAGGATGGAGACGCAGGTCGGAGACTCCAGCAAACCCACAGGGAGGGCTCGGTGCCACTGGCACCGCGGGGACAGCGCCTGGCACATGGCTCAGGACACCCAGCACCTTCCAGCCATCACACGTGGTGATGCCACCACTTGTGAGGTGACAGCTGGTGACAAATGCCACAGCCAGGCCAGCGGCTAAGCACACACCAACCAGCCAGGCTGGTTTTTGGAGGGTTGGAAAGAAAAGAAAAAGGAGGAAGGAGATCCTGGAGAAGATGGAGCTGCAGGAAGCGAGGAACAGTAGGGCTGGTAGCCAGGTAGGATGGCAGTGATGGCAGAAGACGGAGTGCCAGCAACCGGGATGGAAGGGAGGTGGGGACAGAGGGAATGGAGGAGGGAGGCACAGGGAGACCCAATGCCTGGAGCCTGGGAGCTGCCAGCCAGACTTTATTCCCATTGCTTGTCTCAGGCACCCGGGGGGTTTGGCGAACCCCATGTTTTTCAGGACATTCCTCCAAAAGAAAACTGCAGTTCTTTATTCTGCCTTAGGACATGCCAAGCTAAATGGTTTGGAAGAGTCTTTTCCAAGACCCCATTTCCCACTACCACTTTAAAGGAAAGTGCAAAATTAAGACATTCAAAAAGATTTAAAATTGTCTCCCAGACCCCAAGGTCTGGCTTCCAGCCCCCCTCCCAGCACAAGCATCTCCTGCAAAAAACCCTTATTTTGCTCAAATTTACAGACCACAACTACATTTTATGATATATTTCCCTTGGTGATAACCTTGACTTCCACCAAACATCCATTTTCCACAACATATGGAGCTGCCCCAAAGCTTGCCAGTCAGCATCACCCTCCTGATGCATCATGCCCCCTCAAATCCCTTTTTTCACTTAAAAAAACTGATGAAAAGTAATTAATGTGAACCCGAAGAATAATCTAGCAAATCGAAAGGCTTCAAGAATCATTTAAGGACATTTAGAGGTAGAAAGGTGAAAGAACAGCAGAGCTGTATGTTTTTACCAACGGTGGGAGTGGTGGCTGCACTCAGGGAATTGGTGGAAGATATGGAAGAAGTACTTTCAGCACGGGCTAAAGGTGCTATCGGAGGAGGGCTGGATGAGTGGATAGGAGGGCTAAAAGGCCTGGACTGTAGAAAAACATAAAATAACACAAGGTTAAAGAAAACACAGACATGTTTGCATCAAACAAACAAGCTTTTCCCTGAAGCCGTGAACATCAGGAACTCCAGCCAGCTGCTCTGCTGGCATCCCAGAGGAGTAAAGGGAATGACTTTAGCTCTTTTAGAGCTAAGACCTGGAGAGGCGATCCCCACCATCACGTGGGCCTGGGTGTTTGAAGTTCCCATCCACACTGAGGATGGGACCTCCAGAGGCCGCGGGATGGATGGAATGCACTTAGTGTTGGGAAGGGAGCGGTGCCATCTGGTGTCATCTCACCAGGGAGCAGCTTATCAGGTCCTTATGGGTCCTTTAGAAACAATTTTTTTGTTCAAATTGTGAATCCAAAAACTCTCCCAACCTACCTGAAGCAGCCTGGAGTGGCAGGACAGAATGTCACAGCCCAGATGGCGTGGTGGTGAACACCCCACCTAAGATTGCTGGGCAGTCCCACCAAAGATTGCCACATCCCCCTGAGCCAGCTACCATTCCCAGGACAGCTGGATCCACACTGCTTTACCCCTAAACCCTTCCCACTCCTGCCCCACCCCATTCTTTGCTTTTTGTCATGACTGCAGACCGTGGTTTCCCTGCGCTTGGCATTACCAGGCTGGGCTACCTGATAACCACGTGTGTGATAACCAGATACGTAATATGGACAACCAGAAGCAGTTACAGCCCTTCCCAGGTGGAACCCTGGGAAGTGGACAAATCCTAGAAAACCCCAACCTGCCCTGGCAGCCCCCACCAGTCACTTGTTCTGTTATCCGTGTCAGGCCTGGAAATGCCACCCACCACCCCTCGCTCCCTCCCAACGTACCACATCAGCGACGGGGGGCTTGCCGGGGGGCAGCTTGGGCCGGGAGGGGGGCCGGGGGGGCGGTGGCGGGGGGGTGCCACAGGTGGCCAGTGGCGTTCCAGGGCGAGCTGGCGACGAGGAACCTGCAACAAACAGGAGCCATGAGCACCACACAGACAGTGCCCACAGCGCTGCCCACCCCAGATCCCCCACCCACCCAGGGGTGCCCATGCACACCCCACACAGCTCCCCATGGCCACAGCCCCACACCAGGGCACAGAGCATTCCAGGACTGCTGATGCTGAAGAATTCCTCACAGGGGCTGTCCAATATCCCGCTCCCTCAGCCAGGGAGCTTTAGGCAAAATTGTTATCAGAGGAGACTTAAGGCTTTCCCAAAAAACAGATGTAGGCAGGAGGAATATGGTGCTGAAGCCCTGCAGCAGCTGGTGCTGGTGCCACAGCTCTAGGGCTGGCACAACTGGTGGAAACGGTGGGTAGTAGGGACAAAGCCTTGTCCCAGCAAGAGGGGAGAGGGCAGAACAGGAAGGTTATGAGTTTTGCTAGGAGTGTAACATCTCCCAAGACTCTGGAAGAGTCTTGCAGAACAAGTGGTGTTGATCTCAGGGTTCACATGGTCCCCAGCGGTTGCTGTCCTGCTGTGTAAGGGAAGTTCTGTAATCAGATGGAAATTTTGACCAATGCTTTACAGAATATACAGGAGACTTTTGCTCCATGCACAGAAATTCCTTCCCAAAGATGTTCAGCAATAACTGGTGTTGTACAGAGCAGTCAGAGATGGCACCATGACATGAGGGGCACAAGGAGTGGGAGGAAATTCAGACCCCATTCCCAGGACAACTGACACGGCATTTGCCACTAGTCTCCATGGAGTTCAGCAGCTCCATGCTTGGCTCAGACTGATGATAAGACAAGGACTTTGGCTTTATTTTTCCAACTTACAAGAGAACAATTTCCTACATTTTTTGGGTGATAGTTCAGATTAAGGAAAGACCAAAGCTAGATCTATAGAAATAAGCAGGAGATAAAGGAGAGCAGGCTAAGCCAAGAGAGGGGCTTGTTTAAATGGAGTAAATTCCAGTCATTCTTTGGCACAATTCCAAAGTACAAGCCATTTTTAATTAAAAGCCTAATTTGGGAATCAGAGTCTGAATTTTTCCTTACTTATCCCAATAAAAGCCTGATAAAATAGGAATTATTCAGGGAAAATAGCCTTGCGGCACTGAACGAGTGTGGCAGGATGGAGCCTTCAAGGGAGTGTTCTGTGACCACCAGGTAGCCAGAGACCTGCCAGACATTGGCTTCCATCCCAGAATAGGTATTTCCTGCCACAAGAAACCATGGCAGTGTGTGGAAATAAGCACGAGATCAGAAGCCTGCTGGGATGCTGGGCTTGGCACAACTTGGTCTGGTGGAAGGTGTCCCTGCCCATGGCAAGGAGTTGGAATGAGATGAGCTTTGAGATCCCTTCCAATCCAAACCATTCCATGATGACTCTACACCCATCCCCAGCCCCGATTCAGTGACACCCACAAGCCCAGGCTCCCATGGGATGTGAAGGCAGGAGGGCATCCTGGGATGGCTCTACTCCACAGCATCCGAAAACCGGACAGGCCCAGGACCAAATGCAGCACCAGGGGCCTTGGAAAGGTGGAGAGGAGTGTGAGGGATGCTGGATCCATCTGCCAGAGGATGCAGCTTTTGGAATATTTGCACAATTTTTCTGTGGGTATGTTAACACTTTGCATTTTCCAGCTTGCTGCACTGGGGAAGGCTGAGGTGACAGTGGGATGCAAAGCAGTCCAGACTGAGACAGGAGGCAATTCCTGAAGAAGAGACATGGATCTTCTTGGAGACACAGCTCCTCCATCCATCCCTACATGGGGAGCCCTGACATGTCCCCATCCTGTGGCTCTTCACTCCCACAAGGAGCTACTCAGTTGGCATGAGGTTGGAGAGCATGGTGGAAGAATCTTGCTGTTTCCTGCTGCCAAACTCCAGAAGTCCCAGCTCCAACCACTGCCACTAGCAGCCCCCACATGGATTCCCACCCTCCCAGCACAGAAAAGCCACCACCACTGAAGCAAAGCCACACTTGCAGCACCAGCCTCACAGGGTGGGACACCCCCAGCAGCCCCTCCACACCCCTTCCATGTAGGTGACAACCCAGAGGAATGACACTGCTCCCAAGCTTCCATGAGGCTGGTGTCACATGCTGGGGCACAGGTCTGGGGGCTGCACACCCAACACACCCCTCACCTCCCCCACCTGGGTGGAGGTTCTTCAGAGCCCTGAGAGGGTAATTCCCTCAAAAATAACTTTGGTGGATGCAGGATGGCAGCACAGGTGTCCAGTAAGTACCTTTGGGGGTCAGCCCCTAAAATAACAGGTTCAGGTCACAGCCCCTCAAACACCCTCAGAAAGTGTGTGTAAGTTGACCTCCACCAAGCTCATTTGCCCTAATGGGCACTGACATTTATAATTTATAATAATTTATAATTAAGCAGGCAGCCAGCACCTGCCAGACAGACCAATCAGGTTCTGCCCTGGGAGAGGCTCACCCTGGAAGACATTTCTCCTGGCTCTTTACACTCAGAGCCAAAAAGGACCAAGCACTGTCCAGACCTGTGCTACCTGTGAGCTGGGTGGGTGACAGTGTGTGGTGACCTGTCTGCAACAGATTTAAAGGACTCTAGAGCTGAGGCTTGCTCAGATTATTTGCCTGAAATATTTCTGACTATGTTTACTCAAACCTACTGAGAACAGAGCTGCAGCAATGGCAACCCCATCCCAAATTCCGTGCACGGCAGAGGTGGGAAGGGCGGCTCTCCGGAGCTTTGGGGAAAGATCATCAGCCCCATCCCACCACGAGACACGCAGCGAGGAGCAGGGGGAGGACACAGGAGGCGGAGGGCAGACGACGGACGTGGAAGCACGAGACGGGCCCGGGCGCAGGCACAGCCAGGCGGGAGGGGACGCCGGAGGCGCTCAGGGCCCCCCCGAAGCACAGCCACGGCCGCGGGACGTACCGCTGGTGCTGCCCGTGCTGGCGCCCGGTCCGGGGGACGAGACCACCGTGCGGTAGGTGGGTGGCGGAGGGGGCGGCGGGGTCGCTCTCTGTCCCGGCCCAAAATCTTTGGGAGAGGCCACCGGCTCCACGTTCTCATCCTTCAGGTGCTCAGAAACCTTCTTGTGAACCTCCTCCAGGTGCAGCGGCGAGGGCAGCGGGCGGGAGGGCTCCGCCGCGGGAGCATTGGCTGGAGCAGCCGCTGCCGCCGGCGGGGATCCCGTTTTTTCCCGGGGCGTCAACTCTGGAGCCGCGTTTTCCGGGGATTGATCAGAAAAATTGACCCACTTGTCTTCTGCGTTCGCAGCAGCAGATTTGGGGGACGGCACAGGGCCAAAAATGCTGTCCAAGTCATTGATGGACGGGAGTTTGTCCCTTTTGGGCTCTGCTGCTGCCTGGTCCCCTCCTGTGGTCAGAGGAGGTTATTTTACACTTGGCATTAAGCGAGGGCTGCACTACTCTCTACGGGCTCTGTGCCAGCTACTTCTAGAGGAGATGCTCTAAAAACATGGTTTCTTATAAGCTGCTGGGGAATATAATTCATGTGCAACAAAGTTCTACATCAGGCCATGTGCAACATATAATGAACCACACTGGGTCGAAAGGCTGGATGAGTAAACATGCACCATGAGCCAAGCCCTGCTCCTCCATCACTCACATCCAACAGTACTATATCATCCCAAAAGTTACAGCCTTTACATGTCCTTTAAATGACAGCATGTCCTTACCATCACTCTGGATTATCAGCAGATATTAAACTTATGCACTCAGCGCTCTGGCACACCTCACATTATATATATATATTTATAAACACACGTATAAATATATATACTTGAACATGCTGGTTTGCAGCACAGGATGCAGACAGGGTGAATGTTCTTCAGTCACAAGCAGCAGCAGATCAGGGGATTTCAGAGCTCTGCTCACTAACCAAGCCACCACACACCAACATTCCCATCCGACTCCATGACCAACACAGAGATGATCCATCAGCCAAACGTTACATATCCAGGGAAGGGAGATCCTAAAACTAACGTGCCCTCTGGGCTCCTTGTGCCAGCATCACCCCACCTCTGCTCCCATGTTTGGGGGAGCCATCTGCTGTTCTACATTTGGGATAAACTTTTGAGAATTTTTCTCAAACAAACAATGTAGAACTCAGCCTCTTGCTTTACATGATGCACAAGGCAGAGCCCAGCAAATGGCCCAACACACGTGGCTGGGCTTGACATTTGCTCCTGTGGCTGAATCAATGTATGGAGATGGACACTGCCAGCCTGGCTGCTCCAATAAATAGGAAAAAATCAAGATATGGGAGCATGAATGAGATGTTGATGGATAGAGCAGTGAGGTCAGAGCAGGGGATTTCTTCATGGAAAGGTAATTTCATCCCAAGGTGCTCTGTCTGTCCCCATGCAGTGCCCTATCTAAAGGCCAGGCACTGTATCCCCTCCTCAAATCCTGCTGCTCCATCAGACGGCACCCTGCCAGCACCATGAATTATATACTTATAAGCACTTTATGTTTTCTGGCTGCAACCAATCCCTTTCCCTCCCTGTCCTCAGGTTGTCCTTCATTCCCAGCACCATTCCATTCTCTCTTCTCTAGCCCAGGCTGTGAGACCAGGAGGGGCTTTTCCCACATGCCCTGGTAGCAGTAGGAATCTGGGGGACAGGGAGTGCAGGAGCAGCTCCCTGACACAGGCAGACACTGCCCTGTTATTCCATAAGCACAGACCATTCAGGGCTGCTTCAGGTGGTAACAGGGTTCTATATATTCCCAATTTTGAGCAGGACATTAAAGCTTATGCTGCATTGCATTTCCAGAGTGACTGATCTCAAAGTCAGGGAGAGTGGAGAAAACATTAATTTCACCAGGATGACACAAACCTGGGGGCCAAAGGCATCTTTGTGCTGCTTCTACAGCATCACCCCAACTGCAGCATCCACAAAGTTGTGGCTGCCCCATCTCTGGAAGTGTTCAAGGCCAGGTTGGACAGGGCTTGGAGCAACCTGCTCTAGTGGAAGGTGTCCCTGCCCATGGCAGGGGCTGGAACAAGATGAACTTCAAGGTCCCTTCCAACCTAAATCAGTCTGGAATTCTACAAATACAAAGGGAAGAGGATGCACAAGGACCAAATCTGTGTCCCAAACGCAGCCATGGGGAACCACCCCCCCACCCAGCACCACCCCTGGAGGCTCTAGATCTCCCAGGACTGTGCCCTGGCACACACTGAGTTTTACCTATTCCCACAGGCAGGGGGGAGCCGGTGCGCGGCGGTGTGGCCGGGATGTTCTTCGGTGGGAGCGGTGGAGGAGCTGCAAGAGAGCAGAGAGGGGAATAAATTCAGTTACAGTGTCTTAGGAAACACAGTTTTACTGGGAATGGGGGATATGACAGTGATGAGGTTGCTTCAAGCCCCGTCCAACCTGGCCTTGGACAATTCCAGAGATGGTGCAGCCACAGCTTCTCTGGGCAACCTGTGCCAGGGCCTCACCACACTCAGAGGGAACAATATCTTCCCAATATCCCGTCTATCTCTGCCCTCTGTCAGTGTAATGCCATTTTTACTGGGTTTTATGAATTTTATTTCCCCCATTTTTAATTCTCAGACTGTACTCACACATTTTAAACTCCTGAATTACCATTTTAATTAAACTTGTAGCCTCTGAGGCACAGATCTGCCTCTGTGTTTCTCATGTGCCCATCCCACATGGAGCCAGGATGCACACAGGGGAACAGGAACACTGTGGCTAATTAAGAGTGGCTAATTGACCAGTACTGCTTTATAGAGGCATTTTTGCCAAGCAGATGCAAATCAGATCCAAGGCCAAACCTCCTGGAGGAGCAGCCCATGAGGTACTGTGGTTTCCATCATCACCTTCCCAGTCCCCTTGGAAGGTGGAGATGTGCCCAGACGTTGCCTTGACCTTGGCACATCAGCACCAGGGCCAGGCGTGGGTTTGGCATGAAATCCATTGGGCTCATGGGTAGTGAGGCGGGAAGAGTAGGAAAAGGAGGAAAAAATGACCTTGCAGCTTGGGAGGAGGAAAAGCTGCAGTTCCCCAGCTGCCTCAGGCAATGGGGAAAGCTGCAATAAAAATCAGAGATTTGGGGTTGTGCTGATCTTCCATATGTTAACTCAGACAAAAAAACCCCAGTGTTTCCAACCTCTCCAGCCAGATCATTAACACGCATGATCTGATATTCCTCGCCTCTGAAGGCAGCGTGGCTTTTACCACAGCTTCCAAGCATGACATTTGTCCTGGCTGGAGAGGTTTCACCTTGGAAACCCAGCTCTCGTGGCAGCAGCACATATCCTAAGGGAGGATGTGCATAACCTCTCACACCCCGAGTACCATCCACCCTTCCTTCCCATCCCAAGTACCATCCATCCCATCCCTCACCCAATCCCGTTCCTTCCTCCATCCTGCAGTACTGCAGCTCAAGTCAAGCCAGGGGGAAAAACACCCTAAACCACAAAATGTTATGGAATTGCACAGTCTAGATGAGGAAAAGTCAAATATTTGTCCTGATTTCTGTATATATTATTTTTTGATTGACAACCTGCACAATCACTTACTTCCAGTTGGAAAAGGTCTCGGAAGTTTTGGGGACTCTACACTTGTGTTGATGGGCTGGACTGAACCCCAGATCTCAGGCTGATCTAGAGCAGCTGAAAAATCAAAAATAAATAAATAAACCTTTTAAAGCAATGAGAAAACTAACCATCTTCTTCCGAACACCAAAACACCTTCATCTGAGGCTTGGGAAAAGAGGAACCAAACAGTGATACAAACCTCTCATTAATTAAAGACAGGGGGTTCTATAATGGTGAATAATTAAAAGCTTGCCTGATTTTGAAACAGGACATGCAATTAGTTTGACACTCATGCTGCTTGACAAACAAAACAATGCCATTGATGCATTTAGAGGCTTATTACATGGAGGGAAACATTGTATTAATTGCAAAAATTGTCTGATGTTTTAGGATATGCAAAAAAACCCCATTGGGTATTAAAATGAAAAGATACAAATATATTCACAGAGGTTGTAGGGAAAAAATTTTCTAAGTAAATTAAATTTATTGCACTTTTTGGAGGGGCTGTGTGCAGAGAACTGCAAGCAAACATAGCTTTGATTAAAAGAATTAACTGGAGTCGTAAATGACAAGACATAACGAGGCTACAAGGGCAGTGGCCATTCCCTGGGAGCAGAGTCTGCCGGCTCTGGGAGGAGGAGGAGGAGATCTCTCTGGGAACAATCTGCTCCAGAAGGTGAATGGGGTTGTTATTTGAGGAAAACAAGCCTTGCAAGATCACTGCACTTTGGGAAAGCTGGGAAAAATCAAGCCTGGAGGAGCAAAGTGTCTCTGCCAAGCAAACACTGGTTTGGGGGGAAAAAAGACATTATTTAGATAGCATCTTCCCGAGAATGGAGGCATTGTCCAACAGCTCCATCCAGCATCCTGCTATTTCACTGAAGGCAGATCTGAGGTTTTGGAGTGGTGTTAAACTCCTCCCCACACTTTGGGGAGCATCGAGGGGCTTGGTATAACCATGGTTTGATTTGAGAGTCAATAATTTTGATATCCATTAGCTGTTCCCTGTCAGGATCTGTCCCAGACCACATAATTAACTAATTGACTTAAACACTTGCTCTGTTTCCATCTAACCCGTATTAACCCCAGACTGGGAACTCTGTCACCTGCCCTTCGCCTTCAGCTTTAGCTTTGTCTTTTCCTTCTTTAAGAGGAGGGTTAGGAACCTGATCAGGGAATTGCTTAGGTTGGAAAAGCTCTCTAAGAACATCAAGTCCAATCCAGCATGTTCCCAAGTGCCACATCCACATGGCTTTTAAATCCCTCCACCACTGCCCCGGGCAGCTGTGCCAGGGCTGGACAACCCTTTCCATCAAGAAATTTTCCGCAATATCAAACCTAAACTTCCTTGGGCACAACTTGAGATTATTTCCTCTTGTCCTATCACTGCCCTGCTTGCTGGCAGAGTTGGATGCTGCCAGCTGTCCCCAAGGCACTGCCAGAAGATGCCACCCATGTCCCCAGCCCACCGTCCAGCTTCTGCTCCTCGAACGCCGACTCCAAGGGGGGCCCGAAGAGCGGAGCCAGTGCAGCAGGATCCTCCCCTGTTTTCTTGCTGCAGGATGAGACAAGCACAGAGGAGCCATGAGGATCAGGTTTGTGCTCAAACCAAGAATTTGAAGCAAATACGAATATTTTCAGGTAGTGTTTACATTTCAGACCTGGGCAAACACGAGGGTTTGGGCAGTGAAAAGGGAAGGACAGTGGTAGCACTGGCTATAGCACTGTGGTACCAACCCTGTAGTGCCAGAGCAGCTGCTGGGACAGTTCAAGTTGGTTCAAAATTAGTCAAAACTGAATGGGAAAGGATTAATAAAAATAGTCAAGGTCTGGACCCCACTCTGGTCCAACACACCTTGAGTCGAGCCCTGCAGCTACCTGGGGCACATTCACAGTAACACTTGGTTTTACTCCATATAAACTTGCGTGTTTGCTTTTCTAAATCGATATATCCCCCCAGCACAATGTTTGTCAGCTCTCCCTATTGATCAGGCTCAAGGTGGCTTACAGGAGTGGATGTCCTTGCTGCTCTTATAGGAGTACAAGGATGGACACTGTGCATCTGAAACTGGGGGCACCACTACCATCACAGCCTCTCAATTCTGCCAGAATCACAGACTGGTTTGGAGGACGTTAAAGCCCATCCCATTCCACCCCCTGCCATGGGCAGGGACACATTCCACTATCCCAGGTTGCTCCAAGCCCCATCCAACCCAGCTTTGGACACCTCCAGGGATGAGGCAGCCACAGCTTCTCTGGGCAACCTGTGCCAGGGCCTCACCACCCTCACAGGGAAGAATTCCTTCCCACTATCCCATCGAACCCTGCCCTCTGGCAGTGTGAAGCCATTCCCCCTTGTCCTGTCATTCCTTGTCAAAGTCCCTCTCCAGCTCTCCTGGAGCCTCTGTAGGCACTGGAAGGGGCTTTAAGGTCTCTCGGGAGCCTTATCTTCTCCAGAATCCAACAAAGAGCCCATGGACCCAAATCTCCCTGTGCCTGCTGCATCCTGCATTTTCTCAGTGTATTTAAAGCCAAACACAGATGTTCAGCTGTCTCAGGAGCCTAAAAGGTTATAAAAGCGATGTTGCTGCAGTGGTGCCTTTGATGAGCCAAACTGGAGCAGCTCAACTCACTAATGGGTTGGTAATAGTTGTAGGGTAACAAATACCCAGTGAATTTGCTCTTTATTCTGGGTTTGCCCTACCTTGATGTAGATGATAAAGGATCAAAACCTGAAGGAGAACACATTCAGCCCAGTCTAAATGTTCACCTGCCCATGGAACGCTCAAAACCCACATTGGGTCGATGTGCCTGGACATGGACGCGTTGGATAATCCCACTGAGGGGCTCTGTACTGACCTGGCAGGGTCTGGTGTTGGTGTGGAGCGCCGGGGCCGCGTGATCTCCTCACCTGTGGCACAGGACAGACAGCATAGGGTAAGAGTCATTCCCTGCCCACTCCTCCCAGACCCTGTGCTGGCAGGAGATCTCACACCCAGTGTGCCACCAGCATGGCACACATCCCACCCCAGCAAAGAATCTGCTTTTTAATTTAGATTTATTTCTGTAGAGCACTGAACTAGGGAGCTGCACTGCTATAGCACACTATACTCCCTGTAGTACACTCCAGGTACCCCAAGGATGCCCCACATGGCATTTTAAGGAAAACTTTTGAGTGTCATCATTCCTGCCCGGACCACTTTAAAGCAAACCTTCCCCACTCCCTTCCCCCCCTCCCCCAAACACCTCCTCCTCAACTGCGCTGACTGTTTTTCCAGGCTGCAGAAGATACTTACTGGATAAATTCCTTTTAATTGTCCCCTGGAAACAGAAACAGAGAGGTAAGTGGGATGCACGGGGACATAGGCACATGCCAATTGTCACCCAGGAGCAAAACAGCCCAGCAGACGTGGCAGGAATTGTCTAAAGTGACATTTACTGTATGTGGCTGAAATACAGAGAGCGGACAGCCCTGCCAGGAGGTTTCTGACCCACTCAAAGCCATCATTGGCAGCTCTGCTTTTGAAGACATCCCAGCTACCAGTGCCTTGGGGGGTGGGTCAGTTACACCCTCACCCCATTAATAATGGCATAAACCCCAAATCCTTATGTTTGATGGCTGCAAATCAATCTAATAATGTATTTTAGTAATTTAAGTCCTTGCTTTTGCCACATCACACACAGCTCCCCACACACAATAACTTAGGTTAGAAAAGCCATGTAACATCATCAAATCCAACCATCTCCCAGCACTGCCAAGGGCACCACTGACCCATGACCCCAAATGCCACATCTACACACCTTTTAAATCCCTCCAGGGATGGGGACCCCAGCACTGGCCTTGGGAAGATTGTTCCAAAGCCAAATCCCCCCCAGTCAGAGGAATTTGGAGCTGTGCAGCAGAGAGAGGAGCAGGAGCCCCACAAGAGAGGGTTGGTGGGGACATCCCAGGACCACAAGCAGGATCTCCAGGAGGTTGCAAGGATGCAGGATGAGCCTTGGAGAACACCTATCACTGAGGGCCCCTTTGCATTATCAAGGGGAGGCAATCCTCTTGATCCCACCATCACCTGGGGTCACACAGCAGAGTGGGTAGCAGCACTGGCACCCAGTCCCCATTCCCTATTCCCATCAAGCACTGACTTAGCTCCCTGCAGCACTCCCATTCCCAGTAGAGGAGGAAGGGGAAAGGAGTGTGTCCTTACCGGGCTGCGCCGCTGCGGTCAGCGAGAAGGAAGAGAGAAGAGACACCTGGTCAGAGAGTGACAGGTCAGCACCCCAAGTCCCCCAGAGCCCATCATACCCCTCTGTGACCGCTGCACCGGGTGGGCTTCTGCTCCACACAGCCTCCACCACTGGAGCACAACACCCCATGGGTCACCTGGTCACCCACAGGTAACCCAAACCCTGGAAATTGGGTGCATTTCCCCACTTTGGGCTCGGAACAGTTGGTAGCTCAGTCCTCTTGGGGAAAACAACTCCTCTGCACACAGGAACCACAGAAGCGATGGATCACAGATGGGTTTTCTGCTTTCTCATACCTTTGGATGTGCCACAATCCACTGATAAAAGAGTGCCCTTAGCCCTTACGCATCTTGTCCAAACACCTTTCACCCAAACTACACCCCCAGACTGAACACTCAAAGCAAAGACAGCTTAGCTCTATTTTTAAATGCTCTATTTTTAAATGTTCTAAGTCAACAATAAAGGAAGTTAAACATCATTCTAGAAGGGCAGGATTTGTTATTTACATTTTCCATTTCAGCTTTAGAGATGTGCAGAACAGGCACTGTGTGACCAGAGGATACAAGGCTGGGTTAAAGTATTAGGGAGATAAAAATTGTGTTTCTTACCGGACTTTTCCTCTAAAAGAATGCAGAAAGAGAAGAAAAAAAAAAAAAAAGAACAAGAGTATAAGATATTTTCTCAAAAGGGTAACAGAGAAATTAAGGATTTGTATTATGACCAAAGCATCAGGTTAAAGACACGGCAAAGCAGAGGGTCACGAGTGCACCAGCCAGGCTGTCACCCATCCAGCTGGGAGACTGGACAGAAGGAGAGCATACGGAAATATAAAACTTTTGTCTGAGCCATCTTATAGAAGAAATTCACTTTTTTTATCATTAACAGGCCCCACTGGCTATAGGCAACAGCCATTCCCAGCCTACTTCATTCCTTGGAAGGGTCCGTGTGGGAGAAAAGTCAAAAGGGCAGAAATGGTGTTTTTAAGTGCTTAAGTTTAAGGCTGTTACTCATCATCTTAAGCCAGTCACTGTTTTTCCCACAAAGTCCTTGTTCCTGGGTCTGAGTTTTCATGTAGCCAAGAGCAAAGCCAGCAGGAGCAGAGGTGCAGGTGAGAGGTCTGAAGCATCTGGGCTGTGCTGGTGGGGCATATGGCACAAGCAGGTTATGCCACCAGCACCTGTGATCTTCTGCACCAGAAATGGACCTTGAGCTGTTGGGCTTCAAACAGAGGGAGCATCTGACACCAGTTTACACCAGCATCTCCAGTTTTCTTCTTGTTTCTAAGTTTTAAAGCACAAGAATTCACACCCCAAAGGCACGGAGAGGACAGTGACTACAAACACAGGCTGCCCAGAGAAGCTGTGGCTGCCCCACCCCTGGAAGTGTCCAAGGCCAGGTTGGACGGGGCTTAGAGCAACCTGGGATAGTGGAAGGTGTCCCTGCCCATGGCAGGGGCTGGAATGAGATGAGCTTTAAGGTCCCTTATAATTCAAAACCAGTCTGGGATTCCACGGTCTACTATCCCACTGCTCTATTCCAGGGGGATGCAATGCCAGAGCAGGGCTTTGCAGTTGGTTTTGGAGGGAAGACAAGCCCAGGACAAGGACCTGGCAGCCAAGCATGGAACTCCTGTGGATGCAAAACTCCTTCAGCCAGCTTCTGCCTGGGGCAGTGGTGCTTTCCTGGGAAGTGAGGGCAGTGCCATGTGCCAGGATCCGGAGAGCAGGAGTGCCTGGCAGCAACACTGCTCACTCCCCATCTGCACACCTTGGCTCCCTACACCGGATTTTGGATCCCCACATGGGTGAGCAGCATGGATCCTTCTGTCCAGCCTGGCACAGGGCTTTTCCCTGAGCACGTCTGCACTGCTTCACAGGGAAGAACAGGCTCCAGCCCAAGGCCGAGCTCCGCCAGGGACAACAATTATCCCAAGGCACAACACAGTGTCCTAACCCAGCACCCAAAGCCTTCGGACCACATCACACAGGCATCCTCCTCCCCAGGGGCTAAACCCTTCTTAAATTATGGCAAAATCTCTCCACCTCAGCAGGAAAAACACCATGGAAAAGAGGAGACAAAAATCCTATTTAGCAAAATTCACATTCTGTGGGAATTTGGTTTTCCTGGAGAAAGCGAAGGGCAGAAGAAATGCTGATCACAACAGCCTAATCCTCATATATCAGTGCAAAACTCTTCAGTCAATGAGAATTAAAACCACCAAGAATCTTTGCGCTACCAGGACCTTCGTGCAACCATCCAAATTTTTCTTAATAAATCTTTCAATCCCAGAATGGTTTGGGTTGGGAGGGACCTTAAAGCTCATCTTGTTCCCCACCCCACTGCCACAGGCAGCGATACTTTCCCAACCTGCAGCATCCCTGCAAGGGATGCAGAAATCTAAGCAACAAACAGACTTGGCCCCTTAAATAAATTCTCAGTGCCTTCCTTATCCAATTTTTAAAATATTGCACTTTTTCCTCTCTCCTCCCAATGTCACCTACATTATATACATACACATGTGCAACAAAATGCTGAGGTCATCACTCTGCAAAGCCAGAATTTGCTTGGTTTCACAATAAATTAGTCCTATATTTAGTATAATTATCTTGCAATCATTATTTGCCTATTTGGCAAATAATTGTCAGTCTCAAACTCTCCCATTTTGCTGCATTTGCTGCTTTATTATTATTATTTTAATTGTTGGGTTTGGGGTTGTTTCCCCCCCCCCTTTTTTTTTGTGCTTCTCAAAGCATCCAACTGCAATTTCTAACCCTTGAATGCCAACAGGCAGAAAAGGAAGAAGAAAGAAAATACACTGATTTTCTTTCATCTTTGCTTCGGGTTTGAGATTCATTCACACTTCAGATACAGGTTATTTATAAATCATGGGAAGCATCGTCTGGAAAGACATTAAAGCCCACACTAAAAACCACTGAAAGACCAAAACCCAATCTTTTCACGGTTGAACAGAAATCTTAAAAAGCCTTAGGAAAAGCAGAGAGTGATGGTATTTATACCAGGAGGGACTTAGAAGAGATGACCGTTCCTTCCAGGAACCTGGATTCACCCCCAGGATGAGAAATGTCCCTCTAACATCCTATGGCAGTGTGAAAACCCCCAGATACTTTCCTTCTCCTGGGAATCAGGACAAGACCCTTCTGTTTTATCTTCTGAACGATGATTACATTAAAAAACAAGGAAAGGTTTATGGTTTATATGTAACATTTCATGTATAGTTTATATTAATTTATAGTATAGTATCAACCCAAAGCATGATGTGAAGCCACAATAGCATGATACGAATATATACAGTTCATATTCATTTATAGTTTATATGTAGCACTTTAAGGCATTTCCAAAGGCACTAGTAAGACTACAGTATAATGTCATTTTTCCTTCCCTCCTCTATAATTTAGCTGAGAAATTTTTGTGACAGACCTCATCAACTACCTGCTAACCCAACTCCCAAATCAAGGCCTGAGATCTCACAAAAAAGTTGCCTTTTAAGATCCTGTTATGTGTTCCAGGAGGGGAAAAAATAACATTAAACTGGTTGGAATCCAAAACTCTTCCACCTTAGTGGCTGCAGCTCAAGCAGACAGAAGAATTCCTACAAAAGTGCCCTCTCACCCAGGCAGAGAAGAGGCTCCACCTCAACATTTCATGGAGCATCAGCATGGAAAGCAGAGCTTCCCACGTGCTTGGGATGATCCCTGTGGAACACCACTGCTCTTGGAATTGCAGGAGAGAGGGAAACACAAAGGACTCACCACAGGGGATGGAGAAAGTGCAATGTTGCCTATGGAGGCCTTCAGCTCATCCACAGTGGCCGCGCTCCTCAGGACATCCTTCGCCTGCAGGGGCTTGATCTTGATGTTGAACTTCTTGTGTGCCTCCTCTTCCTCCTCAGATTCACTTGAGGAGTAGAAGTGCTTTCCTTTGGTAGGTAGAGCACAGTTAAAGAAAGATTCCTTCTGCTTCCCGGGCACTCCAAGGCTGAAGCCTCCCTGGAGAGCAGGATTCAGGTGTTCCCCAAATGCTTATCCCAAATCCCCAAGGGCAGGAGTGAATCCTCCTGTTGTGCCTGTCACTGCGGTGATCTTTCACTGCTTCATCCATGTGTGGGCAGAGGACATGGGAGTGGTGTTCACAGGGATAATTCCAACCCTGGTTTAGCCCAGCAGGGGTTTGTATCCACATCTGGATTTCACAGAATTGTTCAGGTTGGAAAACCCCTCTAAGATCATCAAGTCCAACCCTTCCCAGCACTGCCAAGGCCACCACTGACCCATGTCCCCAGGTGCCACATCCACATGGCTTCTAAATCCCCCCAGGGAGGGGGACTCCACCACTGCACTGGGCAACTGTGCCAGGGCTGGACAGCCCTTTCCAGGAAGAAATTTTCCCAATATCCAACTTGAACCTCCTTGGGCACAGCTTGAGGCCATTTCTTTTTATGCTGTCCCTTGTTCCCTGGGAGCAGAGCCCGACCCCCCCCTGGCTCCACCCTCCTGTCAGGGAGTTGCAGAGAGCCAGAAGGTCCCCCCTGAGCCTCCTTTTCTCCAGGCTAATGGTGGACATGGTGGCTTCCACAGGGCATCCCACCAGGATGCTCCCACATTCCTCACACTTCCTCATTCCACACCAGTGGAACAAAGACAATTAAAATCACCTTCTGTTCTAATGCCTCAGGTAATTCCCTCTGGAATTTAGTTTTAGCTGTGGAATGATAGCTCAAAATGAAAAAAAATTAGGAAATAATTATGATAAATAAACATAGCCAGTGGCCTGACTGTGAACCCCAACTCATCTTACAATTTGTAACCCAAGAGACAAAGCCAACAATAAAGGATATAGCCTGGTTCCTCAGGTCGGATGCTGTATCCCTCCTCATCAAGTTCAGGTGAGTTCTGAGTAGGAATATAGAATTAGGAATATTAATTCTGTTCCTGGAAAGCTGGAGCAGCTCTTTCCTCCTGTGGGAAGTGATGTCCAGCAAAACTCAAGCCCCTGGGGCTACACAGAGCAAAGGCAACCTGTGTTGTGGCACAGCCTTCAAAGTTCACAATTAATTTTGCAGTGCTCAATTTTTGCAGGAAAGCATTTTTAGTTCTTGGTTGTAAACCAAGGTTTTCTTTGGATAAAGTACAACATCCTGTTGGCCAGGACAGAGCTCTCCAGAGCCACCTCATTTCTGGGCAGTTTTATACAACCTGATTGACTTGCAGACATGAAATGGAAATCTGGACACAACTGACACCCAGACATCACCCAAAAAGCCCAAAATCAGTGTATGGGAACATCCTGAGTTCCCCACAAGGATCTGTACATGTACTGGATGATGGGAAGCTCTGTGGGACACTTACGTATCTGTCCCAGTCAATCTCCGCATAAAATCCATTCGGGGCTCCATTTGTCTTCTTCTGCAACACATTGGAAAAGAAAATTTACATGTTTTAAATGAATGAAACAAGAAGACATCATATCTTGTAGTTGTGCCTTGGCATGGCTGGGATGCCACTGTGGAACTTCCACACGTGCACATCAGTGAGATACATCACCATTCCCTGTTTCTGGAAGGTCTCCCATACCAGAGAGATGAAAGGGTGTGTTTGGAAAATTCATTAGCTGAAAATACAACATTTCTTAAGGAAAAGCACCAAACAGCACCATTTCTCCATGTGCTGGGATGTTCCAGCCCATGGGGAGAGCTGGTGGCAGTGGGGGCTCCCGATGCCTGTCAAGCAAGAGGTAACATCACAACTTATCAGGAGACAAACACCTCCCCCATGAAAGATTCAGATTCTGTTACCCAACACGCCAGGATTTATGGCCCCAGCCCACAGTGATGCCAGGATGGAGCAGTTACGGGTGTCTGGGATGACGTGTTAGTGCATGTCATGACACACCAACAAACACAGAGGTTATCGCTGCTTTGGATCAAGGGAATCTGGTTTGGAAGGAGGCTTTGGGCACCCATCACCTGGGGGACTCTTTGCTGGTCTGCTCTGAGCACCCAGAATCCACCCAGAGTTCCCATTGGCCACCACAGCCAATGAACAGCAATGTCAGTGGGGACCCACCTTAGACTGGGCTCAATTTTGGACGTCTAAATTGGATAATCCAGTTCCCTTGAGCTGCCAGAAGCAGCATCCTCACCCCAGCACCTGCCAAGGGTGTGACACAGTGCACTGGCCTGGGGCTGGACCCAGCACGCTCACCCTCCATATCTTACCCATCAGACCTCCAGATGCTGCCCAAGGACGGAGCAGCTTCCTGAGAGGCTCAAGGATGAAGAAACATCCTCTGGATGCTGTTCTGTGGGACTTCTGGATGCTGTTCCTTGGCACTCCTGCTTTTCCCCCATCCGTTTCCATTTAACCCCATTTCTACCAACCCACATACATCCTGGTTGAACCTAAGGAGTATTTTTCTGTATCCTGGATTTCAAACCAAGAAGGACTTGCTGTTTTTAAGGACCCTTTGGTAGCTGTGAACCAAGCTCTGCTTTCCTTACCGAGTTATTTCCTCCTTCCCGCGCACTCTCGGGTTTGCTATTGCAAGATGGATCATTGGGACGAGGGCTGGGCTGCTGCAAGGGATGGGGGGTGTCAGAAAAAGGGTTAAAGTCTCTGCTCCTTGGTTGTTGGTTTTTTTAAATACACAAAAATAAGCTACAAGGGACTAGCAAACACTGATTTATGAGGAAAGGAGGGCTCAGCTGTGGCTCCATCAGGATTAAGCACAGTTTTTACTGGAGGTTCTATTCAGCAGTTGGAGGACTTGCCTCTTGGCTACTCCAGTGGCTGCAAACATTATGGAGAGAACATGTTTTAGGAGGAAAAATTATATTCAGTGTCTTCATGTCCAATTCCCCTGCTTCAAATACATTCAGCAGCTTCATTATACCCCCCAAAAATTGCATTTCTGCATCCTTCAGCTTGCTGAAGCACTGGAGACCCTGCCCTGCACCCCCCTCAAACAACAAGCCACTTGGAAAACAAGAGTAAGAGCCCCATGGAGAGGGCACCTGAGCTCACCTGAAGTCCCTGCACCCCCATCTGGTAAGAAAAGCTGCCCAAGGCATTTCTGTGGCAGAGGGAACAGCTCTGGGCTGTTCTCTGCATGTTCGCAGAGTTATTAAGGTTGGAAAAGCCCTCCAAGATTGAGTCCAATCTGTGCCTGATCCCCACCTTGTCACCTAGCCCAGAGCACTGAGTGCCACGTCCAGTCATTCCTTGGACACCTCCAGGGATGGATGAGTCCACCAGCTCCCTGGGCAGCCCCTTCCAGCCTGACCACCCTTTCCATGAGGAAATTCCTCCTGATGTCCAACCTGAACCTCCCTGACACAGCTGAACCTGAACCTGTTAATGTCATTTATTCATTTACCACTGCTGAATAGAGCCCTGGTTCAAGTGTTGCCTGAGCTGCTGATTTTTTAATCTCTATTTCTGAACAAGTTTACAGACACAGGGCAAGCCTAAAGCCAAGGATTTGGGGTTAGATGGGGAAAAAAGTGATCCCTTGGAAGGAGCAGTTTGGTACCTTAACTTTTGTATGGCTTTGAAAAAACACCCCAGCACTGCTCTCCCTGCTGAGCCTCCCAAGGGGCTCATTTTTAAGGTGAAATTTTAACATCATTTGTTTGAGAAATAAAGCCAGCACACTCCCAGTCTGACTTATTGATATCAAATGGCTAAAGGAGACAGGGTCCATCTACTACCCAGACCTAGCAGGGACATTTCTGCCTAACACAAGACATAAAAGCAGCAATAATTAAAAAAACCTCAAGTATCTCCTTGTTTTCAGGTTAATACAGAAAATAAAAATAGATATTGGAAGCAGCTGCTCTGACAATTTCCCCTTAACTCCTCACACAGCAAATCTGACCCAAGCCAATTAGCAGGAGTGGAAACAAGGATGAGGAGCCGAGGGTTTTAGTAGGACACCTGGTCCCTCTGCCCCTGGAGCTCCTCAGGTCTCCCTGTATTATTATTTTCTTTGTGTTAATTTCTCAGGAAACCTGGAATAGGTCATTGTTTCAAAGAGAGATTCTTACTGAAATTTGTTTTCTATATTAAACAGAAATGAGGAGATTGTTCACAAAATGCTGATGGTGGTGGGTGGGGGAAGTGACACTTTAGGGGCCACAATAGGAGTGGGACTTGGGTCTGGGCAATACTTACGATGCCATCCCTGTCTGGTGAACCCCTGCAAAGAACAGAAAGAAACAGAGCTGTGTTAGTGCCCAAACCACATCAGTGCTTAATTAACTTCTGGAAATGGTTTTCTTAATGAATCCACAGCAGCAACAGCTGTAATTATGAAATTATCAGCAAACCTGAATTAACTGTCCCACATGCTCCTTGTGAAACCCACCCAATGGTCTCAGAACTCTTGTCCTCTTGTTATCAGATGACAGATTTTATGTTTATTAGTGATAAAGTGCTCCTGCTGATGGTCTGTCCTAACTGAGGAGTTGGGCTGGCTCCTTGCACCCATCCCATGGCCACACCCCTGCTCCAGCTCTACATCCTTTTGCAGAAGACAAAAACCACTTCTACAGTAATTTTGAGAATTTTCTTCTGCCAGAAGGACAGTCACTTCTCTCTGGAATGGATTTGAAAACTGATGAGGCTCCTCAGGGATCCTAATCCCCAACTGATTATGGGATTTGGGCTCGGTCACAGCAGCTCCACAGCCACATTTCAACACTGCCCAGGGGTGCCAAGTTATTTAGTGAAGACAAATGTTTATGGAATCCAGACAGGCTCCTCCACCTCCCATGTGCTCCCGAGTATTATGCATTGCAAATCTATGGGATTTGCCACCAATTCATGTCTGACTCAGGGCATCCTGGTAACCCTGTCAGGAGTTGTTTGTTTTAGCAGGGAATAACGCCTTTCCTTGGACTTCTCCACATCAAACATGTCTGCATCCCATCTCTCCAATCTTCTGCTTAATCTCTTAGCACAAAGGCCTTTGAAACTCTTTGGGAGAAGCAAAAATCTCTTCCGCATCTGTGTTTCCTCCCAATGTAGGGGTGTCACCTGGTCATATCCTGGCTGAAATTACTGTGGAGATTATCATTGCTCATCAGGTGGAGGGAAGAGGTGGAAGGTCCTCACTACAGTGTTGCAGCTCCAGCAGATCCCGCATCTCTCCAGGACCAGGCAGCACCTCCGGAGCCACCACCACCACAATGCCCACCACCAGGACTGGGGACTGTGGTGGCCTGGCCATGGCAGAGGGTGACGGGGCTGGTCAGAGCCCGCTACTCTCCCAATGCCCCTCCCAGCCCCGACGGGGTATTTGGAGAGCACTCGGAGCCGTACGGGGCTGTGACCGTGCGGCGACCCCGCGCCGTGCTAATCACTGCTGTGCTAATTGCAGTGTCCTCCACAGCGGCCTCTCTGCGAACTCCTTCCCACCCCCAGCACCCCGGGATTCCTTATCTCCTGTGCCACCGGCTCCCAGAGCCGCTCGGAAGGGCAGGACAGAGCAGGCATGGAAAGTGTGGCACTGGGTAAAGGCAGGAGGGAGACCCGGCTATTTCCCCTTCTTGTGGAAAATCGAAGCAGGCTGATTCCTGCCCATCCTTCTGATAAATTATAGGTGAACCCACACATGGCTGGAGCTCCTGGTTGTCCCACTGATTGCCTGGCTGGTAGATGGATGCCACCATTCCCGGTGACAAGCCACTCTCTGCCAGCCAGAGAACAGCCCAGTGCTGCACAACCCTCTTTTGAGATGTGCTCCATGTCTGCCCATTTTTGGTCCCCTTTTTGCAGCAGACAAAGCCCTGCACCAGGCATACCATGGCTCCAGGTGCATGGCCAGGTCTTGCAGATGTCCCTTTGCACAGGAAACCTCCAAACTCCCAGCCACCAAGACATAAAACAGCTCAGGGAAACAAACCCAAATGAAATTAAAAAAAAAACCTTGGAGTGTCTGCTGTGCTAGACATTAAGCAGCTGCATGATGCTGCAGATGCAGGGATGGGGCTCCCTCCTGCTCCATTCCCAGGCTATGAGTGGTACAGGCTCCTTTGTCAGAATGCTTTGGGACATCTACCCCAAAGCCACAGCACTGGTGGCCAATCATTGAGGTTGGAAAAACCATGGAGTCCAACCATTCCCAGCACTGCCAAGGCCACCACTAACCCACATCCCCAAGTGCCACACCCACACAGCTTTTAAATCCCTCCAGGGATGGGGACTCCACCGCTGCCCTGGGCAGCCTTTTCCAATACCTGACAGCTCTTTCCATGAAGAGATTTCCCCTAATATCCAGCTTAAGCTTCTCCTGGTCTGAGATAATGCTATTTCCTCTCATCCTGTCCCTTGTTCCCTGGGAGTAGGCTCCCATCTCGCTCCACCCTCCTCCCAGGGAGTTGCAGAGAGTGAGAAGGTCCCCCCTGAGCCTCCTTTTCTCCAGGCTGAGCCCACCCCCAGCTCCCTCAGCCACTCCTGGTGCTTCAGACCCTTCTCCAGAACAATCTCAGGACTGGTATCAGCACCCCACCAGCAGCTCTGCACCCACACAGAGCATCCCCTGCCAGATACCGGAAGATCCCCCCCCACATTTTCCTGGAAAGCAAAATTATCTCTCACAGCAGAGGCAAAAGCTCTTGTGCTCCACCAGCCCCCTGCTCCCCATCATCCCAAGCCTGCTCCAACCACACAGCCCCACTGCCTGCACAAGCATCTGTTTAAATTGAATTGGCATCTATAAAGAGCTCAGCAGACAAGGCAAATTAGTAGTTTGGGCAGAGATTTATCTGCTGAAACTCTCAGAGGAGTAGTTTTCCTCTGATCACCACTCACTGTCACCGTAAACCGCACACACGCAGAGAACCTGCTTGATCATCTCTGCAGCAACACCGAGGAAACCCCTGATTTGTTGGCCCCTGGATGTACAAGGGGAAGCAGCTTCAATGTATTTGTTATTAAACACTTGATCTAATAAATGCCTGTGATGGCCCAGCTTCCTGCCTGTCCTGGTACAGTGGCATCCACTCCTCCCTGGCATCATTATACATCAGTGTGGTTTATATCTCATGGACTCACGTGGAATCAGTGTCCTTTTCTTTCTTCCGTATACCAAAGGCCTTCCTGGTACGTTTTTTCAATCCTGTGGGTACAAGGAACACAAAAAAATGCAATATTAATATAACACTTCAAGTAAATCCTCCAAAAGGTTCCCTATTCCCTTGCTGGCTGTAATCCATAAATAAGGTTAAACAAGGAAAGAGCCAAACCCCAGAAGCTGCCAGCAGGACTTTGCAGGTTGTGTGTACATTTGCTTATGCCATTTATTTGTTCACTTAACACTTATTAACTTGATCCCAGCGTGTGGGGCTGTATTTCACAGTTAATATTTCTAAGCTTTCTGTCTTAATCACACCCTCATGTTGCGTGTGGGCTCTAACGCATGGAGGGGAAACCCCTCTTTGGTGTTAAAAAACGGTTTAAATCATGAGGTTGGTTATCTTCTGTGGTGATTCTTGATCTGCACAGTGCTTAAAATGATGCCTGGTACTAGTAATGCTGGAGCCAGATGGGAAGTGGGAAGTCCTAGAAGCCCCAGAGCCTATCAGGGCATCAGCCACCACCACAACACTTGGAAGCCAGATGGAGGAGAGTGGGTTTCTCCAAGCTTCTCCCTCTTTTTACAGAATCCCAGACTGGTTTGGGTTGGAAGGGATCTTAAAGCTTATTTCATTCCTAGGCAAGGACACCTTCCACTAGTCCCGGTTGCTCATACACCCCCAGCCTATGGGATCCATACATCCCAGCTGCCATGAGCAACACAAGCAGCTGGAACCCACAGACTCATCCTGCACCTTCATGGACAGTTTTGGTGTCACTATATCCATGCCTTTCATCTTTCCTACTTTCTTCAGGACTCAGATGAGTCATTAATAACAGAGGAACATTCCCATTAATCTCCCCCCAGAATAACTTCATTCTCCAAACTCAAAATAGAACAGGAAAGGCCAAAACCCCCAGAAATGAGTTGTTTAGTCTTATCTGAAGCAGCACCCAATGTGGCTAAATTTTGTAACACAGCCTTCTGCTCAGTTATATAATAGGCCCACCATCTGCTTGAAGTGGTTATGATTGAGGGGGAAAAGGGATATTTAGGAAAGGGAGAACAAAAAATGACATTTTCCTTTGGAGATGGCTGTTGGGAGCCAGTGGGAGCAGGTCCCCCACCAAACCCCACTGTCACCACAGGGCATGCCACTGACTGCCCTGATAGTGAAATCAGAAAGGTCTTCAGGTCAGTGGGGTATGACACAGTGATTTTCCAGGAGTAGAATTTTCCCAGAATTTCAGTGGCTGCAGCTCAGAAGAGCTCATGTCTCCCCTGACATGGTGAAATGCCCCATCCAGTGGTGCAGGGGCTGAGCAGAGAGTTGTGCACAGAAAGGTACTGCACACTCTGGGCCTCAAATCTCCTTTCAGCTGTTTTTAGTAACTGAAGGATGATAAAACCTGTCCTGGCAAGAGCAATTGTTTTAAAAATAATAATAAGATCTTGTCCATGGAGGGAATGCTACATGGAGACACTATGGATTCATTGGAACCTCACAGGATAAGAGATCCACTGCTGGAAGAGAAAAGGTGATGGTAAGTGAGACAGACAGCAGAGAAGAGTCAGTGAAGCAGCAGAAAGGCTGAAAGCATGGAAGAAAGCATGAAAGAAAACAGAGTATATATATCCATGTGGGGTATAATTCATATTTAATTTACTATTATTTTTTTTCCTTGGTATAACCAAGAATTGGGAACTGAGAAACAGGAACTACTACTTCAAAATATGTAAAGCTTCATAGTGTTTTCTTGAGAATTACCAACATCTTATTTTCTACACCAAAGACATCACACCTCTAGAAGTTTTTCAGAGTTGGATTTGAACAACATGCTTTCCCCACCACACACAAACCTGCAGCTCCTATGAAATCCCTTTGCTGAGTGTAGAGATGTGCTGCTCCATAGCCAAAGGACTCTGGTTTTGGCCCACTTTACCAAAGAAATAACAGCCCTCTCTCTGCTCAGCAAGACAAAACCAAAGGTAAGACAAAACTACTGAAAACTTCCGAGCCACATCCAGAGGAAAAACTGAACAGTAAATCAAGTTTTCAGAAGTGAGGGTATAACCACATCAAGCCCCAAATAAATACCCAAACAGCCATATCTCAAATGTAGCAGCCTGAATCTACCACCAGTGGCGTATTTGACATGAAAACAGGCATTTTAGTCCATTACAAACCCAGAGATTCTCAATTGCTTCATCCTCTGTAGCAGAAAAGCCACACTGCTTCAGTTCATGTTATTTTTGTTTTTGTCCACTTTTTCTGTAATTATTATATGTCCTCATAACATAAAATGCTTTACCTATACCAACCTCTGCATTAAAGCACGGTACCAACCTTTCTGTGGCCTCAATAATGCAGTGAAAAACGGAGCCCTCTGCACACAGCCTTGATAAAGTCATGAATATTTCAACCACTTTCATTTACAAGTCTAATTACAGACCTTATTCTGGAGAAGAAACCAAGGGACACCAGCAAGTGGCAGTTGGGCAGTGATGGCATCACTCCTGTGGCAGCCGAAGGGCTCATCCTGCACCAGCCCAGCCCTGCAGACCACAGAAAGGGGTGTAGCACAAATCCTTCAGGAGACAAGCTCTGCTGCTGCTCTCTGTGCCTGTTGTGGTGCTACCAGGCTCCAGCAACAAACCCATCACCTTGAAATTTGGGATTGTTCAGCCTGGAGAAGAAAAAGCTCCAGGGAGACCTTAGAGCCCCTTCCAGTGCCTAAAGAGGCTCCAGGAGAGCTGGAGAGGGACTCTGGACAAGGGCCTGCAGGGACAGGATGAGGGGGAATGGCTTCCCACTGTCAGAGGGCAGGGATAGATGAGATATTGGAAAGGAATTCTTGGCTGTGAGGGCAGTGAGGCCCTGGTACAGGTTTCCCAGAGAAGCTGTGGCTGCCCCATCCCTGGAAGTGTCCAAGGCCAGGTTGGACAGGGCTTGGAGCAACCTGGGATAGTGGAAAGTGTCCCTGCCCATGGCAGGGGGTGGGACTGGATGGGCTTTGAGGTCCCTTCCAGTGCAAGCCATTTGATGATTCTATGATTACAGTCCTCCACATGCTCACAGCAGTTTCTCCCCCTCAGAGAAAAAAAAAAATAGTGAGGGAAAAAGGGTGGTGGCCCCACTACAGTTCTATCACTCACTGCCAGAGCAGAACATTCTTGGCATCTTGCTGTGGTTCTCAGGAAAAGAGAAATACTTGAAAACAAAAGTGAGCAACAACAAATGTGGACTTGGTCATTGGTTTTGTTTGTTTGTTTTTGTTTGGGTTTTTGTTTTTAAATATATGCTGGGTTTTGTTTGTTTTGGTTTTTTTTTAAATATATGCTGAAAAATTTGGTCCTTGTCAGAAATTTCAGTTGGGAGACACTGGAGGACTAGCAGTGTTTGAGAGCCTAAAACAAAATCACAAATAAGCCTGAACAAAATAAAACATCATAAGTTACTGCTCTGGGATTGTTTTCTCCTACAATAGGACTGTTTGGTCCTGGGTCAAAGTCCCAGGAGGTTGGGCCTTGTGAATAATAGAATTTTGAGATGCAGCACATGTCACCAACCACTGAGGAGTCCAGCTATGGTGGTCTTAGTCACATCAAGAAGATCCAAAGTTTTGTAGTAAAGGCAAGCCCCACCATCAAGCAGAGTCAGGCCGAGGAGGAACAGAGAGTTGGCACCACACTCAGTCTTGGTCCTGCTCAGCCTGGGGTGACCCCTGGGCTGGTACGTGGCTGATGGGAGAGGGACCAGGGCAGCCAGGAAGCTGGAGCAGATGGAGATGGGCACCTGCAGGAGATTGTGGGTTTGGAGGTGTGCTGGATGGACATCTAGAACAGCTGTGTTGGGGTCCAACTGCCTACCCAGGAACGGAAATGAAGTGGTGAGGGATCTCCACTCCAAAGGACGGATGCAACACAAGATCCTGTGGCTGACTCAAAAATACAGTCAGATTTCCAATGTGACAGTAATTAAGTCTCTGATCAGGTTGTGGCAAACTTTGCCTAAGGAGATTTTGAATTAACATCCAACACCTTTCTGAAAACAAACACCATATTCCAGCTATGAGATGTGAAGTAATTAGAGGAAGTCCTGTAGCCACCTCTGGGTTTGTGGCTGCTGACATGTGTCCAGTGTCCATTCCCACATACCCACAGGGGTTCGAGCTCCCAGGACCTACACATCTTGCCCCTTCCTGTGAGTCTGCACTTCCTTCCCTTTGCAAACTCCCCAAATACCCATTTCCAGTAGCTGGGGCCAGGAGTTCAAAATGCCAGAGCCCTGGAGTCAAAACCCGCTCTTTGCAGACCCTCAGCACAGTGAGGGAGAACACACTGGCTGATTTGGAATCACAGAACCATTTAGGTTGGAAAATCCCTCCAAGACAAAGTCCAACCATTCCCTCAGCACTGCCAAGGCCACCACTAACCCGTGTCCCCAAGCGCCACATCCACATGGCTTTTAAAATCCCTCCAGGGATGGGGACTCCACCACTGCCCTGGGCAGCTGTTCCAACACTTGACAACCCTTTTAGCAAAGAAATTTTTCCTAATATCCAAACTGAACCTTCCTGGCATTTCAATATACCCAGATAAAAAACCCTTTGCCTTGGCATTAGTCCAACCCCTTCATTTTGCAGGCAGTTCAAATACCTCATGTACCTGCAGCTCAGGAACAAGACCCCAGCCCCTAACTGCAGCCTCAGGATGTGGGAATACACCCTAAACCACGGAAATGTACTTATATTCCATATATAAATGGAATAAATGATATAGAGCAAGGCCCAAGCCCAAAGCAAAGCTTTGCTGGGCCAGCAGCTAAAGGCTGTCCATAAAATTGAGGGTAGCATCAGCAGGATGCATCCCAATAAACAGGGCATCAATTCATCCTCCTACAAAGGAGCTGAGCATCCCAGAACTGTTTAATATCAGAAGGCTGCAAATTGGTGCTCACAGGTTACTCACCAACCTCAGTGAAGCAGCTGCAGAAATCTCTCACCACCTACTTTCTCCAAAGATTAGATTTTTAATATCAG